CTGCTTCTGAAAAGCCAGCAAATATTAAATATTGAAAAGTATATACAGAATGTAAATTGGAGCCTACACATATAAAAGATCTATAAAATATTAAGGAAGCAGTAGTTTCTTATGGCATGCATTCACCATATGTGAAGCAGTCAATAAAAACATGGGCTTCAATAAAGTTACTCCACATGATTGGCTTCAATTAGTCTCAGCTGCTTTAGAACATGGAACACAGCTTCAGTGGAACAGTTGTTGAGGGAGGAAGCAAAGGCCCTTGACCATCAAGGTAGAATCAATGGTCTTGAGGCCTCCCAAGATCAAATTCCTGGTGAGGGCTGTTATGCTGATTCAGAGAGTCAAGCTACATACAATGAACACATCTTGTTCCTATGACAGACACAAAAGCCTTGAATGCTTGGGACAAGAAAGATTCAAGAACCAGGAAAAAGAACTGAATCTCTCTCTCTCTCTCTCTCTCTCTCTCTCTCTCTCTCTCTCTCTCTCTCNATATATATATAAATATATATATATTTAGTAATTTTTGCAAAGAATAACTAAAGCTGCTGGGCGGTGGTGGCGCACGCCTTTAATCCCAGCACTCGGGAGGAAGGCAGAGGCAGGTGGATCTCTGTGAGTTCGAGACCAGCCTGGTCTACAAGAGCTAGTTCTAGGACAGGCTCCAAAATCACAGAGAAACCCTGTCTCGGAAAAAAAAAAAAAAAGAATAACTAAAGCTGTAAAATAGGGGTAGTGGACCAAGAAGGTAGAAGAATACTCATTGAATCTCTGAAAATTGAATTAAATTGAATTGAATTTCTGAAAATGCTAACTTAAAATGCAAAAAGATACTTGGGCCCTTAAAGGTAATATCAACACCAATGGATGAATGGATTCTGCAGACAGCCAATGTTGAGTAATTCAACTATTTGAGGAAGAGATTGTAAACAGAGCATTCCTAGAAATAATGTTCTTCTGGGACTGACCCAAATAGAAGAATCTGGTAAAGACTGACATTGGAGCAATGAATATAGATCAAGAAGAGACAAACAAGGAAACCCATTACCATCGGGAAACTCCTTGGGAGGGCCCCTCACAGGCACCCAGGTAAAACATGGTCCAGTCATTCCCAGTCACTGTGGAGGATACACCTCCCCAGGAAACTTAGAAAATCCAATACCTGTTGTAAAAAAACCATACATTTCTGGGCGATAGGATAACCATGGAAGGTAAATCAAAAATTCCAGTAGAAAATACAAAACACATACTTTGGAGACTTCTATAAATGGTCAAATGCCAAAGCTGAGAATACAAATATATAATATTATAATGGAAGGATTATTAGACACAGAAGCAAATGTGACTATTACTACTCCAGAATCTTGGCATCCGAATTGGCCTTTTCAGGTAGCAGATGTTCAATTCCTAGGAATTGGAACCCTATCTCAGCTAAAGCAAAGCACAAAATGGGTTGAATACATACAGTCAAAGGGTAGAGAGGAAAGCTGAAGCCATATGGGCTAATATAGCAGTGAATCTATGGGACAGTGATCTGTTGCAGCAATGGAATATTGACATTAATATTCCTGCAGTTTCAGAAACATATCATAAACCAACTCATGTTTCTGGGAAGGATATTATAAAGTACTATAAAAAAAACAGTCACCAACCATTCAGGCTGTTAAAAACAGAGCAACAACTAACAAACTCTCAGAGGTACAAATGATCCTACCTTTAAAATGGTTAACTAAGAAACCTATATGGGTTAAGCAATGGCCTTAAACAAAAAAGAAACTTTAGGTTCTAAAACAGATGATAAAAAAGAAACTAGATGCTCAGCATATTGAAGAAACAATCAACCCTTGGAATTCTCTTGAATTTGTTGTTAAAAAATCTGGAAACTGAAGAATGGTAACAGATCTAAGATCTGTTAATAAGGTGATTTAGCCAGTGGGCTATCTACAGTCTGGAATTCCTTTGCATTTCCTACTGCATAAAGAACAGTCTCTTAGAACTCTCAATAGAGGAATCTAAAATGGCTGAAAGACACTTAAGGAAATGTTCAACATCCTTAGTCATCAGAGAAATGCAAATCAAAACAACTCTGAGATTCCATCTTACACCTGTAAGAATGGCCAAGATCAAAAACACTGATGACAACTTATGCTGGAGAGGATGTGGGGAAAAGGGAACACTTCTACATTGCTGGTGGGAATGCAAGCTGGTACAGCCCCATTGGATGTCAGTGTGGCAATTTCTCAGAAAATTAGGAAACAACCTTCCTCGAGACCCAGTAATACCACTTTGGGGTATATATCCAAAGGATGCTCAATCGTGCCACAAGGACATATGCTCAACTATGTTCATAGCAACATTGTTTGTCATAGCCATGACCTGGAAACAACCTAAATGCCCTTGATCGAAGAATTGACAAGGAAAATGTGGTACATTTACACATTGGAGTACTACACAGCAGAAAAAAGTAACAACAGCTTGAATTTTGCAGGAAAATGGAAAACATTTTTTTGAGTGAGGTAACCCAGACACAGAAAGACAATGATCACATGTACTCACTCATAGGTGGTTTTTAAACATAAAGCAAAGAAAGCCAGTCTACAAACCACAATCCCAGAGAATTTAGACAACAGTGCCGACACTAAGAGAGACTTACATAGATATAATCTACATGGGAAGTAGAAAGTATAAAAAGACAAGATCTCCTGAGTAAATTGGGAGCATAGGGACATTGGGGGAGGGTTGAAGGAGGGAAGGGAGAGGCAGGGAGGGGAGCAGAGAAAAATGTAGAGCTCGATAAATATCAATAAAAATTTTTTAAAAAAGAATAGCCTCGGGGGAGGGGGAGGGAAAGGGGAGGCGGCGGTGGGGAAGAGACAGAAATCTTTAATAAATAAATAAATTTAAAAAAAAGGATAGCCTCTTACAGTTTTTCACTTAAAAGATTGTTTCTTCACTATACTTTTACAAGAAAAAGAGAGGTCTGTCTTCACAGTGCTTAATTATAATTCTCAGCCTGCTAAAAGATATGAATAGAAGATTCTCCCACAGGGAACGTCAAATAGCCCTACCCTTTGCCAATATTTTGTTAAACAGTCATTGAAAATGATATATAAGCAATTTCCTGAATCAATAGTTTGCCATACATGGACAACATTTTATTTTCTGATTTAAATGTAGATACTTTAGAAAGAATTTTTGAAGGAGAAAAATTTGCCTTGTTGGGGATTACAAATTGCTCCTGAAAAAATATGAAGAGGAGATTCTATTAATTAATTAGGCTGTAAAATATATTTACAGAAAATTAGGCCACATAATGTACAAATTAGGAGAGATGAATCGCAGACAATGACTGCCAAAGATTGCTAGGAGACATTTCCCAGGTATGGCCCACTGTTGATATATGTCCTGATGACCTGATTAATTTAAACAAAATCTTAGATGGTGACAAGGACTTATGTAGTCCCAGGGAATTATCAGTTGAAACTGAGAGAGAATTATATTTGTTGAAGAGAAATTACAGAAGGCACATGTGGATTGTGTGGATCTAAATCTTAACCACATTCTGGTCTTATTACCCTCCAAACATTCCCCTTCAGGAGTTTTAATACAGAGGGAAGATACTGTCTTAGAATGGTTTACCACATAAACTGAGTAAAATATTAAAAGTTTGTGTGGACCAGGTCTCTGCATTAATTATAAAAGCAAAATTGAAGCTTCATAAATTAGTAGGAATAGAGCCAGCAGAAATTATAGCACCACTCACTAATGATGAAATTAAGAACTTATGAGAAGGAAGTGAACCTTGGCAAAGAGCTTGCAGCAATTTTTTGGGAGACACAACAACTATTCCAAAAGTGAGAGGATTTGACTATTCCCAAGAGAATGTTGGCACCGAATTCTTGGAGCTTGTTTTCTTCTCAGAAGAACTGGCCTATGTGCAAAGAACTGCCCTTGCTCTGACTACTGACAATATGCATGTTATCCAAACTGCACAAGGAAGATACAAGCAAAAATGACTACTGAACCTTGTCAAGCAGGGTAGGACAGTCTTTCAAATTTTCCTGCCTCTGAAAATGGTCTGTTAGATACACGTTAGGCCTTAGCCAAAGTTGGTTGCTCTAACACTGCAAATGAGATTTTGGGTGATTTTCTAGGTAGCCAGCTGTCTCTGTCATTTCTTGCACCTTTTTGAAGTTGCTTGCTTGTACTTCCTGCTTACTCAGGTAATATTTTTTCCCTTCTCAAGTCTTTGATGGGGTTGAAGACTAGACAGTCATAACTATTTTAATCTCAAAACTTAGCTAATACATTTCAGTACAAGACTCAAACTCCTCAGGATAGGACGGCTATTGAAATAATCTCTGTTATTTGCTTATTACCGTAGACTAGACATTTAGAATGTTTTTCTTTCTTGATGTGGTTTATGTTGGTTGTAGTTTTATTTTTGTGTATGTTTATGCCTTTTATTTTCCTGGACAACACTTGATATCTGTTCTTATTGTATAGTTTTGCTATAGGTTTAGAACCCTCTTATTTAGACCAAAGTGGGAGGTGCCCATTAGGGCGTGGTCTGAGGTACTGTAAGCAAAGACAGGAAGCTTGTGTGCTCTTCACTTTTCCCTTTTCGCTAAGTTGGTGGCTGGTGTTTGGTTCGCAGCTCCCAGTGGCAACAGAGCAGAGGATGCAGCAGCCTTCTTTTTGTGAGTGTCCCCAATAAACATTTGTTATCCTTTATTATGGGCTCACATGGGCCTGCTTTAATTACGCTCCACCTACTCCATTCCCATCCCCCTTTCTCAGGAAACTACTTTGACAGTGTGGAACTGATCACAGAATGAGGACAGAAGTATTAGCAGCTAAAAGTAACTTCTCTCACTTGCTCAGATGAATCATGGGACAAGACATTCAACAACAGTATTTGTGATATGGTCCAATGGACTCAAATTAATCACAGAGATACCTGTAATTATGTTATCCTTTCTTACTATCTAACTCACCTAAGTTCAGCAGTGAGGTCCTTGATTGTACTGTACTTTTCCTCTAATGATAACTGAGCCTTTTGTAGTACGTCTCTCAGTTCCTGTAGCTGTCTTAAGGTACTTTTCAGTTCTCCGTGAGCATTCTGCAGTTCAGTTTCGAGGGCTTCCCGTTTCTGCACGGTATCTGTTAGTTCAGCTTCGGTGTGGTGCTGCAACCTTTCTAACTCCTTCACTGTTGAGAATGCAGAATCATAAGAACCATATGTAAACCATGACTTTCTAACTCCTTCACTGTTGAGAATACAGAATCATAAGAACCATATGTAAACCATGACTTTCTAACTAACTCCTTCACTGTTGAGAATACAGAACCATAAGAACCATATGTAAACCATGAGCTGGACAGATGGATCAGTCACTAAAACACCAGCCCTGCAATCACGAGGACCTCAGTCAGATATCAAGCACCCATACAAAAGTCTGTGCATTGCCCTATTAAGTGCTGGTAGAGACAGACAGACAGCTGGAGCTCATTGGCCAGCGAGCCTTGCCAATCATAAAGTCTCTGTCTCAAAAAATAAGATGGACAGCAATCTAGGAAGATACTTAAAATCAAACTCTGGCCTCCACATGCACATACACAAAAGTGCACACTATCACAGGACATGTAAATAAGATATAAACAAAAGAATATTCAATCTGAGAGCTGGAATCTATAAAACTCTTGGTTTATAGAGTGATTGCTTAGAATGCACAAGGCCTGGGACTTAATCCCCAGCACTGCATACACAAAGCATGCTGGTCCCTGTCTATAATTTTAACACTAAAGAGGGGGAAGTAGGAGGATCAGAAGTTCACTGTCTTCCTCTGCTACCTGAGGAGATCTTTAAAAAAAAATCTGATAGAACTTTACGAATAAATAAGACTATTTTTATTAATTTATAAGAGACAAAATACTGAACACTATCCCTTTCAGCCTCATTACCCCAACTGCTGATTTTATTCCACTTAAATATAACTAATGTCTTAGTCAATGTTCTGTTGTGAAGAGAAATCATAACCAAGCCAACAATTAGGATGGAAAACATTTAATTGGGATCTTGCTTATAGTTTCAGAAGTTTAGTTCATTATCATCATGATGGGGAACATGATGGCACTCAGGCAAACAATGGAGCAGTAGACTACCCCTACTAACACACGTCCTCCAACTAGGCTACACCTCCTAATCTTTCTCCAATTCCACCACTCCTGATAACTAAGCATTCAGATATATAAGCCCATTGAGGCCACTCTGACTCAAACCATCACACACAAATAAAATTCTATGTAAGTCAAATTAAGCTAACTAGTTACTCACCTGCATTTGTTCTCTTTTCGAGTTCTGTCTTTGTCTGATCTAAAATCATATCTAACTGAGAAAGATGTATGGATTTATTTTCCCCATCTCGTTTCAGATGTATTATTTCTTTTTCCATTTTAGACAGCTCTTCTTTGCACTGATCCATCTCAAGTTTAGCTTGTCTAATTAAAAATAAACAATAGAACAGGTAATTTGGAAGCTTTACACCAAAAGTCTTCTCTCTAACTTTAAGTCTACAAAATTTATTAGGTTAAATATTAGCAAGATCTCTACTCAGAATCTTAAGTCACATACTATACTTTTAAAACTACTCCAACTGAAGTATTATTGTTCTTTACACCAACACCACTCAAGGGCCAGCATTGTTCTCAGTCTAACTACATATAGCCTTACAAAGTTTCACATATATATATATATACATATATATATATATAACATTCAGAGCTAACCACGTGATATTTTAATTATCTAAAATAATAACTAAGAGGCTAAGTAATCAAATTACCATAAACACATTACTTTTATGGAACCAATAATTTTTATTTAAGACTTATTCTTAGGTTGTATTTTTTAGCTTTAAAAATGACTAGAGTTAATCTTGTATCCTGCTACATTACTGAAAGTGTTTATGAGTTGTAAAAGTTTCTTGGTAGAATTTTTAGGGCTGCTTATGTAAGCTATCATATCATCAGCAAATAATCAAATAAAAAAAGGCCAAATATAAAAATCAAACAATCAAATAAATAAATAAATAATCAAATCAAATAATAATCAAGTAACACAATAAAAATAATCAAATTTAAAAAATCAAATAAACCAATAAAAAATGGAGTACAGACCTAAACAGAGAACTCTCAGCAGAGGAATCTAAAATGGCTGAAAGACACTTAAGGAAATGCTCAACATCCTTAGTCATCAGAGAAATGCAAATCAAAACAACTCTGAGATTCCATCTTACACCTGTAAGAATGGCCAAGATCAAAAACACTGATGACAACTTATGCTGGAGAGGTTGTGGGATAAAGGGAACACTTCTGCATTGCTGGTGGGAATGCAAGCTGGTACAACTCCTTTGAATGTCAGTGTGGCCATTTCTCAGAAAATTAGGAAACAACCTTTCTCAAGACCCAGTAATACCACTTTGGGGTATATATCCAAATGATGCTCAATCGTGCCACAAGGATATGTGCTCAATTATGTTCATAACAACATTGTTTGTCACAGCCAGAACCTGGAAACAACCTAAATGCCCCCAACCGAAGATTGGATAAGGAAAATGTGGTACATTTACACATTGGAGTACTACACAGCAGAAAAAAATAACATTTTGAAATTGCAGGCAAATGGATGGAGCTAGAAAACATCATATTGAGTGAGGTAACCTAGACACAGAGAGACAATTATCATATGTACTCATTCACAAGTGGTTTTAAACATAAAGCAAAGAAAGCCTACAAACCACAATCCCAGAGAACCTAGACAACAATACAGACATACATGGATCTAATCTGCATGGGAAGTAGAAAAAGACAAGATCTCCTGAACAAATTGGGAGCATGAGGACCATGGGGACCATGGGAGAGGGTAGAAGGGGAGAAGAAGAGAGGGGAGCAAAGAAAAATGTAGATCTCAATAAAATCAACAAAAATAAATAAATAAAACATTAAAAATGAAAAAAATTACTTCAACCCACACTGAGTTAATTAATAAAAATATGTTTCTATGCTGGAAAAAAAAGAGACTAGAAATTCGAAGATTGAACAGCTTTCCCTGCCACACAAAGGTGGGAACTAAAAGACTATGAAGCAACACAATCAGACAATAATAGCAAAGTGAAAGAACCAGGTTTTTACCTTTCAATCAGACCAGAACTTGGTCCAATATGGACACCACAGACAATATACTGAGGGGCATTTTCCAGTCCCATTCTTAGAAATTTAAACTGCAAAAGTATGTTCACTGAAGTATTGACTCTCTCTCTCTCTCTCTCTCTCTCTCTCTCTCTCTCTCTCTCATCTATCTATCTATCTATCTATCTATCTATCTATCTATCTATCTATCTATCATCTATCGGTTTTTCGAGACAGGGTTACTCTGTAGCTTTGGAGCCTGTCCTAGAATTAACTCTTGTAGACCAGGCTGGCCTTGAACTCAGAGAGGCCTTCCAGCCTCTGCCTCCCAAGTGCTGGGATTAAAGGCGTGCACCACCACCGCCCGGATAATAGATAGATAGGTAGGTGGATGGATAGATGGTAGACAGGACAGATGAATGGCCCTTTGTGCATGCTAGGCCAGCACTCCACCACTCTAGCATTTGACTCTTTTACATTTCTAAAGTCTAAGATAAATAATTTTCAACTTGGTAGAAAATTGTTTTTACCAAGAGAATTGATATAAAACAGATAACTAGAAGAAAAGAATCAAAAGATGCTGACATACAGTGGTAAGAGCTGGTAGCTTGTCAGCACTAAATCAGGATAACCAAGATATTGTGAAATTTTATAAAAACCACATATTAAAAACTCAAAAAACTTCCTATTTAGTAAAATAACAATCATGGCTCTATATGCATCAAGGTTTAGTTGGGATAATAATATATTTAAACATGGTGCACTAATATACACAATAACTATCCAGAGGTGGCAGTAATGTCAAGCCACTGAAATATTGTTTTGTTCTAAAGTGTTAGTATTGGCTAGAGATAGATTCCACCTTTATTTCACTTTTGAGGAAGCATTTCTTAATAAAGTTGAATTAATAGAGCATTAATAAACATTTAAGAGCTTAAAAATATTAACTACATAATCAATACTACTCAAATTTTAAGTATAACCTTAAAAAATTTTATGGCAGATTTAAACCCACCAGTCTCTTAGAAACACTTCCCTTTGTTATCTCAGGGTTACTGAAAGCAATCACGACTGAGATAAGAAATAGGATTAAAGGAATTACTATGCTAAATACCAGACTCTTGAAACTTGATATTATATAACTGAAAAATAAAAACAAAAAAACTTTTGGTTTCAGAGCAGGTCTAAACTGTATACTTATATAGCCTGATTTGAGTTTCGTCTTCCTCATTTTAAAACCTACAATAAACACGTCATAGGTTTAAGATTAATGAATTAATGTATCTACCTAGAACAAAGAAGGTAGATGTTCAATAAATTGGTTTCTTTTCTATCTGAAAAACACTTTATCAAAAGCAGATTGAAGGAGACAGAGAGAGATATATTTTTAACTTTACTATTTTTAAAAAAAGTTTTCTAAACTGTAATTTCAAAATTAAAAAATAAAAACCTAATAGTGGAAGCAGAGAAAACTCCTCGTGAAGAGCTAAAGTAATGCTTTCTTGGGAAGTGTGATCATTAATTAATCCATGAGCTTTTTATCAGTATTTAGGACCTAGCTTTCCTATTGAAAATGTCTATTGGTTATATTCAAGAAGCTTTTGATGTGATTGTTCAAAAGTCAAAAAAGTAGGAGTTAACTAATGAAACTCATTGGGTCACAAAAAAAGACATGAAATCAGGTAAGGGCCAGTAGGAAACAGGAAGGGAATAAGAGAGAATAACAGAGGGTAACTAGATCAAAATACATTAATTACGTGTGTGAAAATATCAAAATGAAACACATTGTTATATAAAATTAATGTATGGATTGAAAAAGGAAGAAGCAAGTGTTTCATTTGTTCCAGTGGACGAGAAGCATCAAGGAGTTGGCAGAGTTTTGAAAGAAGAGGCAAAGGTGCAGAACCAATCTTCTATGAACGACTTGGCTTGCCAGACTATACTAAGAAAAACAAGACTTTAAAGTAAAGCTGACTTACATGATCATATTTTCTGTAGCTTCTTTAAAGATGCTGGCATCAGGTAGTGTGAGTTGGATTTTATGTATATGCCTGTTTACATGTTCTTGTGTGTGTATGCACATACACAGGCACATAAACGTATGTGCACATGCATAAAAAGTCAAGTGTCTTCCTCAATCTCCCCTCACTGTAGTGATGACTTATTTGTACTTTAATAAACAAAGCTATCCTGAAGATCAGCAAAGCTACTAGAGGACGAAAGTGGTAGCTCACACCTTTATTCCCAGAGCTTGGGAGATGGATCCCCAGAAGGATCTCAAGGAGTTCAAGGCTACCCTGGCTACAAAAGATTGAGCCACAAACAGATCCAGGTGGTGGTGGCTCACACCTTTAACCCCAGCACTAGGGAGGTGGAGACAGGAGCAGTATGGCTGGGTGGAGAGAAGAAGATAAAGGGCAGAGACAAGAACTCACTGGAGTGCCTAGTCTGAGGATTTGTGGAGACAGGGTCTCGCCCTTTTGGTATGAAAATTCGGTAGATGTAAAAGGTCTCTCTAGGGTGATGGTGGTGGTGCACGCCTTTAATCCCAGTACTCGGGAGGCAGAGGCAGAGGCAGGCTGGTCTCTGTGAGTTCGAGACCAGAGAAACCCTGTTTCAAAAAAAAAAAAATACTCTAGTGGCTTATTGCTCTGCTCCTCTGATCTTCAGCTTTAACCCCTTATCTGTATCTGTCTCTGGGATTTTGTTATTCATGCTACTAAGCTTCACCTTTTTTTTTTTTTTTTTTTAAGATATGGTCTCTTATTGAATCTGTAAGAGAGTTTTACAGATCCAGCATTTCAGCTAATCAGGGATCCTCCTATATGTGCCTCCTCAATGGTGTGATTACAGGAGCAGGCGACCATGCAGGGCTTCCAACATGAGTGTTAGGAGCATGAACTCAGGTCCTCATGTTTATGTAGAAAGCATTTTAACAACTGAGCCCAAGCTGAATTTTAATTCTGTGTGATATGGGATGCCCTTCTGTATGCTGTGAATATTTTTTATTACCATTGGTTAATGAAAAAGCTGATCTGGTCAATAGCCACACTTAATAGAGCCAGTGGGGAAAAAACAAGTCAAGATAAAGGGAAAAGGAGGGTGGGTCAGGGAGGTGCCAGCAGCTACCATAGATGCAAGGTGAGAGGTAACACCATGGCCAAGTGGCAATACACACATTATTAGAAATGGGTTAATTTATATGTAGAGCTAGACAGTAATAAGTCTGAGCTAATAGGACAAATAGTTTGTAATTAATATAAGCCTCTGAGTGGGAACTGACGGGCAGAAGAGAAACCCACACTTATATCCGTGATGCATCGAAAGCCAAAGAGAAGGCTAACAAAGTAATTTTAAAAATTAACTTGATATTAAGGTCATTAAGAAAGGAGACTAGTAATATGATGTCAGATAGCTATAACCTCAATTATGGAGAAGTTGAAGAACAATGTCTGTAAGTTTGAAGAAAGCCCAAACTACATATTGAGGCCCTGTTTCAAAAACAAAATAAAGGAAAGCAAGCAAAAGTATCAGAGAATAATATAGTAGTAAATATTAGAAACGGTGAGCTCTAGGGTAAACTGTGGGGATGTCTGAAGCATGAGAGAAATATGATAGAGAAGAAAGTTTAAAAAAAAACAAAAACTCAATTCAAAACATGAATCAGTTAAATGAATACTAACTAACTAGAGCTGGTATTGGAGAGAACAATAAACAAGATAGACTATAAATGTCAGCAATAAGGAATGATATTATTCTATTACGTAAGTTCAGAGTACACCTTTGACTCTCTGGTACAAGAATATGGGGGAAAGTTTTTTAGTATATAGAAGCAAGAGAATAAGTAAGTCCTCAGTATAAGAGTTTTATTATAGTAAGAGAAAGGAAAAGTCAGAGAATATAGAGGATGTATATAAATTCCAGACGGTACAACGGAAGTTTTCAGAAATTGGCATGGGATGGGATAAAAGAGCAATGGGTCTTGATTTGGCTATCTAGCATAAACAAGGATAAGTTAGAATCTGAATAGACTTAATGGCTTCACAAAAGTCAATGGTGGAAAGGCTGTGTTAGTGGCTAGATACCTGGCAACAGGAAAGTGTAGCACGAATTCTAACCTGGAGTCAGATATTAGGAGTAAACATTGAGAGATCAGAGAAGCAGTGCAGTCAGCCACTACAGAGACCTTTTATCTCATCAAATCCTCAGACTGCAGGAGTAATCCTGTCTCTACCAATCTCCAGACTGCATCCTCAGCCTGCATCTGAGCTCCTGTTTCCTCCGGCTTTACATTCCTCTCTCCGCCCAGCCATATCACTTCCCATCTCCACCTCCCTGGTACTGAGATTAAAAGTTGGGCCATCACCGCCTGGCTCTGTTTCTCTTTGAGACCAAATCAATATAGTATAGCCCAGAGTGGCCTTGACTGATAGAAAACCCGTCTGTCTCTGTCTCCCGAGTCCTGAGATTAAAGTGTGTGTCACCACTGCCTGGCTTCTAGCAGCTTAGTTCTGCTCTTTGATCTTTAGGCAAGCCTTATTTGTTAAAGCAAACAAAACATCATCACAGGAAAGAGAAATCTTGAAAGAAGAATATGTCACTGTCACTGTTAAGAGAAGTTTATCTGTTAAAGTAAGTACCACTCTAAGCCCAGAGACCCTATCTTAATACTCAATCCCTGTCAATGAGAAAAGAAATCTGGGGACATAAGGTTTTAGTTTCTGAATGTAAATTCACACTTGACTGCTAATGATATAAAAAGGGGTAGAAAAATGTTAATTCTTATTGACAAAGTAGAATCTAGGTAAGCTAAGTATATATGTTTCACCTCACAGATTCACTAAGATGAGTCTGAATGTCCAGTCAAGGCAGACAACTATTTTATTTATCCGAAACACAATAAGGTTCCGTGGCTAGATGATGGTGGCACACACCTTTAATACCAACACTCAGGAGGCAGAGGCAGGCAGATCTGAGTTTGAGGCCAACCTGGTCTACAGAGCAAGTTCCAGGACAGTCAGGGCTACACAGAAAAACCCTGTCTTGAAAAAAACTAAACCAAAAATCAAACAAACAAAAAACCCAATCAGGTCCCCTGAGAGTTTCCCCAGTGAAGAGATCTTTGCCTGCAACTTGCAGCGTTCTTTGTAATTTAAAACAGCCGTGCTGAGTGCCTATAAAGGATAAGGATCTGTGCTCTTTACCCAATGTTGTAGGGAGCCCTACAGTAAGGTAAATAGATTCCGTACTATAATTATAAAAAGAAAGAAAGAAAAAAAGGATATAATGAAAGCTATGAGGGGAAATATAACAGAATGCTACAGGAACATAGGTTATGAAGAAATTAATTCCTCACATAAATATCTCACTGGATTATTATCAAACTCTGAAACTCAGACATTACTGATAACAAAATTGAGAAGGGAAATAAAACTGTTATATTCAAGTTTTACCTGACAGTACCAGTAAGCTCGATAATTTTTTGCCTTTTCACATCAGCATCGTGTATGGCTGTTTCATGTTTCTCTTCCATTTTTCTCAACTTTTCTGCTGAGCTTTCCTTTAGTCTCTGAAGCTCTTGTTCCTGCTTTGATACCTGAAAAGCCAGTTTTCAGTTAAGTGCTTAAATTCAATTACACCCCAACATTATACAGAAGAAAAATACTTTCATAATATTACAGTCTAACCTATCATTTAGTTTCAAGATGTATTCCAAGAATCAAAGTAAGCTTGGTGTGGTAGAATTTAACTATAGTCTTAGATACTGTAAAGGCTGAGGCAGAGAGACTGCCTGATTGCCTGAGTCGAGGAACTCAAAACCAGTATAGGCAATATAAAAAGACCCCATTTCAAAAATTAAATTTAATAATAACAGTATAATTAAAATATAAATCAGGATGCTTTGAAACCAGAAAAGCATAACTAACTGTTTAATAGATAAGTTATTCATAATCACTTCCTGTTTTGACAGAAGTGAGCACATTGAACAGTAAAGTGACAGCTGAGTCTGGTGCTTGTATGCTACAGGTGAGACCCTGAATCCCTCATCAGGCACCACAATGTGATCTACAGAGCAAGTTCCAGTACAGCCAAGGCTACACTGAGAAACCCTGTCTCAAAAAAACAAAACAAAACCGAGTTCTTTCTTCTTACTTCAAAAAAAGGGAGAGGGTGGTTGAAGATGAATTCAGACTTTCTGTCTGTCTGTCTGTCTGTCTCTCTCTCTCTCTCTCTCTCTCTCTCTCTATATATATATATATATATATATACACACACACATACACACATACATACATATATATGACAAAAAGTTATTATTATCCTAAAATCAGAAAATTTATGTTTTTATAATTTTTTCTTTTGAAAGATAAAAACAGAATATATATGAAAGAGATTGAGACAAAGTTGATATTGAATAAAAGAAAAAAGATTACTTGCCTTTAATCCCAACACTCAGGAGGAAGAGGCAGGCAGCATCTGTAAATCTGAGGCCAGCCTGGTCTACAGAGTGAGTTCCAGAAGAGGCTTCAAAGCTACAAAGAAATCCTATCTTGAAAAACAAACAAAAAAGACAAAAAAGAAAGAAAGAAAAAAAAGAAAAATTAAGACTATAGAATCAAAGTGTTTAGGAGTCTTTCAGTGGAATGATGACTTCTTCATTTTCTTTAAACAAATCTTTGCTGTGGTCTTGGAGACTGAACCCACAGTCTTGTGTGTACTATACAGCCACTGTACCACAAGTTACAATCCCACGATCATAACTTACGTGTATAGCTCAGCAGCAGTTCTATTTTGGGGAACGGGATTCTTCTTTTATTGTATTTTTTTTTCAGTTCTTTAAAGGATGCTATACCACATGTGGTATTCAAAAAGGAGACATCAGAAGACATAATAATTCATATAGGTATTAAATTTATAGATTCAAGAAAAAAATTCAGTCAAGGAGTCTAAATTATAATAAAATTTTGTGGCATTATAAATATTGTCACCATAGTATGAGATTTAGATCTGAGTACATTTTCTTGATTAAAAATCTGCAAATGATCTTTAAATTCTATTCCATAAAAATTCCAACTATTTTTACCCAACAATATACCTGCTTTTCAAGTTTGGCCTGAATGTCTTCGAGCTCTCCGTTTCTGAGTGTCTCCTGCTGTAGCATCTGCTGCTGCTGCTGGAGAGTGTGCTGCAGAACTGCATTCTGCTCGCTCGTCTCCTGAAGACTATGACTCTTCACCTTTAGCTCTTTCTGCAAACAGTATACCTAGCAGAGAGATATATTCCTTGTTACAATGAATGTTTCAAATAAAAACAGCTCCGTAATTATCCCACTTCTCATGTATTCCAGTTGGTCACGGAGAAGGGCATGGTTCATTATTCTGCCTGGGAGATGAAGATAGGATAGGGTTGTTCCTATACAAGGTTGTGAATACAGGAAGATGCTGACAGGAGATGAAGATAGGGTTGTTTCTATAAAAGGTATGGATACAGGAAGATGCTGACAGGGCTCGCTCTTGTTTGGCATCATTGTGAAATGTTCCCATGAGATGCATTGTTTGGGCTGGCTAGAATTCTGAAACATATTTCTTTCTGAGAAGGAAAGCATTTTAATACTTACGGACTGGTGTGGTAGTTTAAATGTAACTGGGTCCTATAAATCCATAGGGAACAGCACTATTGGGAGGTGTGGCCTTGTTGAAGGAATAGTGTCACTGTGGGGGTGGGCTTTGAGGTCTCTTTTGCTTAAGCTTCGGTCAGTGTCACACAGATTACCTCCTGTTGCCTGCAAGATACAGGACCCTTCGCTACAGCTATAACACCATATCTGCCTGTACTTCACCATGTTCCACCATGATGATAATGGACTGAACCTTTCAACTGTAAGCAAGCCACACCAATTAAATGTTTTCTGTTATAAGAGCTGCCATGGTTATAGTGTCTCTTTATAGCAACAGAAACCCTAAGACAGTTGATCAACTATTCTTACGTGACCTTTTACTTTGAAGTCATAAACAGCTTCCTCTAGGTACTGAGACCACACACCATCATCTCATCTTTTACTGTAACAGGAAGGAGAATGCTCTGTGCAACCCATCCAGAAAGGGAAAGTCAGAGGTAGCTCTGGATTGATCTACATTGCATTTAATGAACCTTCTTTTCCATTTATAGATATAAAACCAAAATTACTACATAATAAAATCCGGTGATATTTATCATACTACATAGTATTAATATTATAGTAGTTTGTAAAATTATATCACAACAAATTGATCCAGAATATTCATATTCCAACACATAAAGTAATAACAATATCAACTACAAAACTTCTCTACAAATATTTAAGGTCTTAGTATGCTGGTCTCCAAAATTTCTTTAAAAGACATCTTTAAGGTAAATATGATGGTGCACAGGTAAAATCCCAGCCCTTAGGAAGCTAAAGCAGGAGGATTATGACTTAGAAACTGCCTAGAGGCTACACAGCAAGGCCTTGCCTGTGTATGTGGGTGGATGCCGAGGTTGTAGAGATAATAAGACAACTCTTAATAAATGGTGTGGAACCATGGTCTATATTCTGTCAATTATATTTTAAATAAACGCTGATTGGCCAGTAGCCAGGCAGGAAGTATAGGCAGGACAACCAGACAGGAAGTAGAGGCAGGTCAATGAGAAACAAGAGAATTCTGGGAAGGAGGAAGCCCATTCCTCTGCAGTCCTAGCCCAGCCACAGAAGAAGCAAGATGTGACTACCTCACTGAAAAAGGTACTGAGCCACATGGCTAACACAGATAAGAATAATGGGCTAATATAAGTTATGAGAGTTAGTAAGAAGCCTGAGCTAGTGGGTCAATCAGTTTATGATTAATATAGACCTCTGTGTGATTTCTTTGGGACTCAACAGCTGTGAGAACTGGGCAGGACAAAAACCTTAGACAACAAATGAAAGTCTTAATTTTTGTTTCATGTGTGTGTATACATGTAGAGGTAAGAGGAAAACTTGGAGGAGTTCTCTCCTTCCACCGTGTGGGTTCTAGGGATAGCACACAAGTTTTACTTGCCAAGCCAACTCTTCAGCCTTTTAGAAAAGGTCTTTAGTAACTGAAATTTTTACTCAATAAAGTTTAATTGTTAAACCTAATTTTTTAAAAAAAATAGTACCTCACTGTGAAGGGATTGATGGCTTAAAACTAAGTAGCTCAGGCCTGCCTACAACTCACCATCCTCGTGAGTAGCCACCCAAGGGCTGGGAGTTTAAGTCTGTACCACCACATCCACCTTCTAAAGCTGATTCTTAACTCTTCAAGCAAGAAGAAACAATTTTTTTTAAGTTTTGCCAGCACAAGGGTAGTAGAGGTAGGTGGATCTCCAAGTTCAAGGCTAGCCTGGTCTACAGAATGAGTTTTAGGACTGTTTCCAAAAAACCACAACCACCACCACCAACAAAAAGTTTTGAAAAATTTTAAACTCCTACGTCTAAAACAATGCTTTAAATATTATTCAATTTATATTAAAATTACTATGTAATAATTTAACTTACTATTTTGATGGCCTAAAAATAAGTGAATTTGAATTTTAAGGTATTATATTTTATGCTATACTGAAATAAAGTCTGTTCTTTAAAGAATATATAATTTAAAATATGTTTTTAGTGTCATATATATAAAGGCTACACTGGTCTACAAAGTGAGTTACAGGACAGCCTGCACTGTTAGACAGAAACCTTGTCTCAAAACAAACAAAAATTACATTTAATGTCCTCTTTCTACAGATGTATGTTTAGAGCATATGAAGGCGATGAGGATGTAACTCAGTGGGGCGTCTGCCTAGTGTGTGATGTTTGAATGAGAATGGCTCCCAGAGGTGCAGATATTACAATACTTTGTCCCCAGTAGGAGGAACTATTTGGGAAAGATTAGGAAGTGTGTGACATTGTTAGAGCACGTGTGTCACTGGGGGTAAATTTAAAGATTCAAAAGACACAGCCATTCCTAGTTATTTCTCTGCCTCACAACAGTGGCTACTGCTCCAGTGCCATTCCTGCTGCTATGCTCTGACACATTTGGTGGTCAAGGACTCACCCTCTGAAACTGGAAGTCCCAAATAAACTCTTCCTTCTCTAACTTGCCTTGGTCATAGTGTTTTATCACAGTGGTAGAAAAGTAATTTGATACCCAGCACACCTTTCCCAGCACCATATAAACATACACAAATGTTTGTACACACCTGTAATCCCAGCACTTGATAATCAGAAGCAGGAAGATCATAAATTCTATACCATCAGTTATATAGGGAGTCTGAGGTTAGCCTTGGATACCCTAGGCCAACCTTGTCTTTAAATAACCCAAACAAAATAAAGCATATTGAGAAAAATTAAAAAATTAACAATACCAACAAGCATTTGAAAATTTTGCTAAATAAAAGAACAATTTACCTCTTCAGACTTCTTCTTCAGCTGTTTTTCAAATTTTTCCTTATTTCCTTCCAACTGATTCAAATGCAAAGCAAGTTCTTCCTTACAGATTTCTAAAGCTGAATCCAGTTGTCTGACCTAAAGTTAAAAAAAAAAAAAGCAAAGTATAAAATAAAAAAAAGAAAGAAAAGAAAAATCAAGGCACTTGGGAGGGAGAGACAGGTAAATCTCTATGAGTTCCAAGGTAGCCTGGTCTACACAGTGAGTTCAGGACATTCAGGGTTATGTAGAGAGACACTGTCTCAAAAAACAAAACACTGAATTATTAATTAATGAATATTTGTTATTTGTACAATATTTAACAGATTGATCTCCTAAGGTTACTTTACTGCTTGAAACACTAAAATCAGGTCAGTACGATAGCTAAGTCAGCAAAGGCACTTTTCTGCGCAAGCCTGGGTGATCTGAGACTGACTCCCAGAACCTCTGGTGGAAGAGAGCAATCAACTCAGCAAAGCTCTCCTGACCTCCACCCATCTGCTGCAACACCTGCACACGTGCACTGCAGCAAACAATTGCAGCACACAGAGTAATACACAAATTTAAACTGAGATAGGTCTATTCAGAGTATGAAATGATCTGACAGGAGAGACTGGCTGAAAAAGCTCATTCATCAAGGCAAACCAGGAACTAAGAGAAGCACAGAACAGTCCTGAACAACATAGGTACAGAAGCACGTTCTAAAAAGAGGGGTCGTGCTCAGGGCAAGGCAGTAGGAAGAACAACAGTGAAACGCTGGAAGTTTAAATTTGTAAGGAATAAGTCATTTGAAATAATGTCAAATAGAAACCCCAAAACACTCCCTTAAGAAGGCAAGCTTATTATTTATTTCTTAATCCTAGACCAATGAAATAGGAAAGTGAGTACAGATATCCTACAAATGTTGCTAAGATGAGAATATTTGGAAATGTTGGTTTGTGAAGAAAAAATTTATCACACAGGAAAAACATCTTCTTTGCTTAGTACCTGTGAAAAAATATTCTTTAAAAATCCAAGGGCTGGAGAGATGGCTCAGAGGTTAAGAGCATTGCCTCCTCTTCTAGAGGTCCTGAGTTTGGTTCCCAGCAACCACATGGTGGCTCACAGCCATCTGCAATGGGGTCTGGTGCTCTCTTCTGGTACACACAGACAGAATATTGCATACATAATAAATAAATAAATAAATAAATATTTTAAAAGACCAATAACATGACTCAAGTGTTTATGTGTAATGCTTTGTGTTATCTAATATTAAAGAGCAAATCAAATTTAGTAACTAAAAAAAATTAGCTCAAAATACATGTCCATACCCTTCTATTACTAAGATTCTTACCTTGCTCTTTTCTTTCCCCTTATAATGCTGAGCTTTAATTTTGCAGGGGAAGATTCCTTTTCTCTGAATAAAAACATCACATTTGAAACTATGAAAGAAATTTCAACAATACTGGAGAGAAAAAAGAAATTTTTTTTCTCAGGAACTATTTGAAGCTGTGAGTCAATGGTCTTTTATCCTGCTACATGTATTATTTTTAATAAAATGCTGAATGGCCTGTAGCCAGGCAGGACAGGTGAGGCGACCAGGCAGGATGAAGAGGCAGGGTGACCAGAACAGGAGAATGCTGGGAAAAGGAAAGGTCAGTCTGCAGTTGTCACCCAGCTGTAGAGGAAGCAAGATGAGAATTCCTCACTGACAGAAGTACTAAGTAAGCCATGTGTCTTACACAATTTGACATTAAAAAATCGCCCTAGTAATTCTTTCTAAAAGGGAATTCTGAAGCCAACATTATGAGAGACTATCTCAGTTTGTTTATATAACTACTGACAGCCAAGAAGGCTGCCATTATGAATGACTATCTCAGTTTAAAAAAAAAAAAAAACTGTTGTCCTAGTAACAACAATTTTTAAAGATTAACATTTTTAAATTGTGTGTATGTGTCTGTCTGCCTGTCTTTCTGTGGATTTGTGCACATGTGAATGCAGGTGTCAGATCCCCCTGGAGCTGAAGTTAAGAGGCAGGTGCAAAGATACCCAGGGTGAGTGCTGGGAACCAGATTGGAGTCCTTTGTAAAAAGAAGTTTATCTGTGAGAGAAAACCATCTCTGAAGTCCTTAGTTTTAAAACTTTTAATTAACAGCTGTGTTAATCCACACAAGCACAGTGGCACAGGCCTTTAATCCCAGCACTCCGGAGGCAGAAACAGACAGACCTCTGAGTTTGAGGCCAGACTGGTCTAAAGAGAGATCTAGGATGACCAGTGCTATGCAGATAGATAGGCAGGCAGGGAGACATACAGACAGACAGAAGATAAAAAAGCAAAAACCCTTGTTATGTTCTCTCTCTTAAGCAAGAGAATGGGCATTAGTACCTGATAATAATACAATAAATTACTCTGATAGGATTCATTCAAAGATGATAAAACCCATTGTTACAAGGTTACTGAGAAATCAGTCATTCCCAAACCACTCCAAAGACAGTCCAATAAAATTCCTCTTACACTAGTGACCTGAGGGCTGGGCTGTGGTGCAGTGGAAGAAGACTGCACGCGTAGGACAGCGTGCCTGCTGGGCAGTGGCAGCGCACGCCTTTAATCCCAACACTTGGGAGGCAGGCAGAGCTCTGTGAATTTGAGACCAGCTGGGTCTACAGAGAGAGTTCCAAAACAGCCAGGGTACACACAATAACAAACCGGGCAGTGGTGGTGCATGCCATTAACCTCAGCACTCGAGAGGCAGAGACAGGAGGATCTCTATGATTTTGAGGCCAGACTGGTCAATAGTACAAGATCAGGGACAGCCACAGCTGTTACAAAGAAAAACCTTGTCACAAAAATATAACAACCTCGACCTTGGCACTCAGAAGGTAGAGATCTCTGTGAGTTCAAGGTCAGCCTCAGCTACAGAAGGCAGTGCATTCCAGGACAGAAATTATAGGAAAGCAAGAAATATAATCTAAACCTAAGGCATAGTCTTTCAACAATCTATTTAACAGGTAACAAACACATTTGTTTACTTTATGGATATTGTTACCTGTTCAGAATTATTTTATTTATGTTGGTGTTAGGAATCAAATGCAGGGCTGTGACCACACTTGGCAAGGGGCCTAATACTGAGCAACATCTTCAGACTCATCAAACGTTTAGTTCTCACTGACCACACTTGAAAATGCAATTTTAAACTGACAGTTTTAACTTTCCTACACACAGTTCATATATGAGCCTTGAAATTAACAAATAGAATCTTGCAAAGGTACTTGGAAAGGATAATAAGATAATCAGGAACAAGGACCCCAGACTGTTATTTTATTGCTACAGATATTCCAGGTTGAAACGGTTTGTACTGAGCCAGTGTGGTGGAGTTCTGGCACTGCTGCACTGCTGAGGACAGAAAGCTGCACAGACAGCACAAAGGAAGACTGCGGAACAGCATCTAGGCCTGCCAGGCATAGGAACAACTGGAGAGCTGCCATAAACGGGCTGCCCATGCAAGCTTAAGCATTGCCAGGACAAGGTGATGATGACGGTGGTGGCGCACGCCTTTAATCCCAGCGCCTGGGAAGCAGAGGCAGGTGGATCTCTGTGAGTTCGAGGCCAGCTTGGTCTACAAAGAGAGTTCCAGGACACCTAGGGTTACACAGGAAATCCTGTCCCAAAAAGCAAAATAAATAATTAAAATTACAAAATTACTTATATTTGAACTAAGGAATTTTGCTTCTATATTTCTTCCTCATATTTATTTTTTCCCCAAATTAAACTCATTAAAAGCATCAAGGAAAAAAATTCAATGTATGATTCATTCATTTTCGGATTTCTCATCTCTTATCTGGTCATTAATATATGGAAATTCCTTACTACATGAAGAACTAGAAGTTTAATAGCTATTAAATATTATTTAACAAAATAGTTTCATGCCTACAACATTAATATTTATCTACCTTTTTTATTTTTTCCTTCTTGTTTGAAACAAGGCTCTTAGATGGCCTGGAACACACTGTATAGACCAGGCCAGCCTCAAACTTTCAGAAATCCTCTAGACTCTTCTCCCATGTGCTAGGGTTACAGATAGGGGCTACTATGACTGACTTGTATGCTAATATTTTAAAATTAAGTTTACTCTTATATAAGTAAATAAACTGATGTGACAGTAAATGTTAAATAATTGCTGAATTCTATAGGAATGGCTATAGTGAGACAGTCAACCTTACATTAAAGTTTAGACTTACTATGCCTGAGAGACAAAAAAGAAAAAATGCCTCTAACATGTAAGCCCCTTGTTGTGGGATAATCTTCCTGGACATTGTGGAGATGTAAGGTTTTTACCTCATCTGCCTAAGGCACCTTCTGATTGGTTTAATAAAGAGCTGAATGGCCATTAGCTAGTCAGGAGAGGATAGGTGGGACTTCTGGGCAGAGACAGGAACTCTGGGAAGAATCTGAGAGGTAGGAATTCGCCAGTGAGACACAGAGGAAGTCAGATGTACAGTATGGAGAAGAAATAATGAGCCACATGTCAGAATGTAGATTAGTATGAAAGGGTTAATTTGTTTTAAGATCTAGTTGGGAACAAGTCTAAGCTAAGGACAAGTTTTCATACTTAATAAAAAGTTTCCACATCATTATTTGGGAGCTGATGGTCCATGCAAGTCCAGCTTTAGTCCCTGGCTTGTATACGCATGTATCACAGCAGCCCACTTCCCTTCCCCAGACATTAAAGAGTGTCCATAAACTGACTGGTCCTGTAAGATAGTAGATCTGTTCCAGCAGGACAGCAGACTAACTCAGTCTCCACTTTTGTAATCAAACTGCTACTCTGCTCAAAGATGACTAGGACAAGTGCAAGACATATAAATTAGACCCTGCCTACACGTAGACAAAATACATCAGTCTCGTGGCTTTTCCTTCATCAGCTTTGGGCTGATATGGCTAGGTGATAAATCTGGGGAACATTCAGGTTCAGTCCTGGCCCCACATTGTACATCAATATCTAAAATATAAGTCTATTATTAAAATGTATTTATGGTCATAGTGAATCTCTAAGTAACCCCAGACCCATAACAACAAATAAAGACAGAACTGTTGGGCTGGGAAGATAGCTCACAATAAGCGTGGAGATCAGAGTTCAGATTTCCAGCACTCAAGTACAAAGCCAGGTATGGCAGCATGCATGTGTATCCAATTCTACCATTCGGGAGGCAGAGACAGGCAGATCACAGGCCAGACTAAATAGCTGAATTGGCAAACTCCAGGTTTGGTGACATATCCTATCTCAAAAAAAAAAAAAAAAAAAAAAAAAAGGACCAAGGAAGAGACCTGATTTCAACTTCTAACTTCCAATGACACATATGCCTATATACTACACATACAATACTGCTGTGGGAAATACTCTCCTACACTTTAAAGGTTTGTCACTCATATTGGCTTAATAAAACTCTGATTGGCCAGTATCGAGGAAGGAGACATAAGTAGGGCAACCAGACAAAGAGAATTCTGGGAAGAGGAAAGGCAGTCGCCACCCAGACGCAGAGGAAGAAAGATGAAAATGCTGCACTGAGAAAAGGTGCCAAGAAATGTGGTTAAACATAGGTAAGAATTATGGGTTAATTTAAGTTCTAAGAGTTGGGGAGGGGGAGGGAAAGCGGAGGCGGCGGTGGGGAAGAGACAGAAATCTTTAATTAATTAATTAATTAAAAAAAGAAAGGTAAAATTAAAAAAAAAAGTTCTAAGAGTTAGTTAATAATAACGCTGAGCTAAAAGGCCAAACAGTTTTTAATTAATGTAAGTACCTGTGTGTTTCTTTGGGACTGAACAGCCGCAGGACCAGGCAGACAGAAACCTCTGTTTACACAACACAAACATATTCTCTCACTCTCTCCCCCTCTGCCTTGAAGACATATTGTTTACATAGGTATATACAATCATAAAACAGAGTATAAAAAGAATTCTAGGCAAAAGTAGTCATCTTTATATTGAAGGTATTTATGGTACAAGATGACAGCATATTTAGACCTACTAGCACAAATAAAAATATAAGGAATATATAGTAGTTCTTCCATTTTTACAAGAGAAACATTTCAAAGGTTATACAATTGAATACTAAATATACTCCTTTTTCATACAGACAGACATGCATTTAATGCCTTTTATATCTTAATTAAGCATTTATCATGCTCTGTGGCTACAGCTATTATACTGTGAGGTACAACAGTAAAATTAGTACCTTTTGTTTCTTAAATTTGTTTAAATTATATTTATTTGTGTGTCGGTAGGGGAGATACGTGTGCATGAACCCTGCTCCCTCATAACAAAAATAAGTTTTGATAACATTCATAATTTTATATGAAAAACAAAGTATTTAAAAATACGTTTGTGTGTGTGTATGTGTTTATGCATGCGAGTACTCTCAGAGGCCAGAAAGGGTGTGGGAGCTGGAGTTACAGGCAGTTGTAACTGCCCAACAGGCTGCTAGAACAAAACTCAGGTCCTGTGCAAGATTAGCATACACAAACCAGGTGCCAGCACTCAGGAGGCAGAGGCAGGAGGATCTCTGTGAGTCCGAGGCCAGCCTAGTCTACGAGAGCTAGTTCAGGACAGTTGGAACTGCTACACAAGGGAACCCAAAACAAAACAATAAAACCAAAGGTGTGCACAATCTTAATCACTGAGCCAATTCCTGAACCACTTAATTGACATTTATATATTACAATTTTAATAATTTATTGTAAAAAAGCCATAAAAATGCCTGTAATAGTAAAACAGAGGCCTGATAAGCTGGGTTTAGCAGATAAAGATTCTTGTCTCCAAATCTAATTACCTGAATTCTATTCTTGAGATCCATTTATGATAGAAGGAGAAAACTAATTCTTGCAAGTTTTCCCATGACTTCACACTCATGCCATGGCATGTGTATGCACACAAACACACACACACATACACAAAAAGTATACTATACTAGCCTTGATTGTTTCTTCAGATACATGAATTTGCAATGCTTTCAAAGCTTCATCTTTCTTCGTATTTTCTTTTTCCATTTCCTGTAAACAAATTTTGATAGAAAAAATGTTTGCAAATAAATATTGAGAGTATATTAAATATATGCTACAGAAACATAAACTTAAAATTCTAGCTTTCAAATAATACTTTTAAAAAGATGACTTTACCACTTTACTTTCCGTCAAGAGCCTGTCTAGTGATTCAAGGTGATGTTGTTTACATAGTATATCTTGCTGCAAAATGGACATAGTCTTTTCTTGTTCTTTGAATTGCTGGTCTCTTTTCTCTAGTTGACTTTCAAGCTAAATATAAAATCAAGATTTTCATGTTATATAGTTTTAAAACATTGGGAACACTTTAAACGTAAGTATATTTGAAAGTACACAGATTTCTGCATTTTAGAAATTTCCTTTCGTTTCCCTTAATTAAAAAAATTAAATCATAAATCTCTTTTCCCTTTCTTTCATTATTCTTATTATTGACTGGTCTGTTTTCATGCTTTTATTAAATATGTGCAGTCATAAACAACATGAAATAAAATTTGTGTTGATATGTATGGGTCTAGTTCATTTATTTTAGGAAGTACTAGACTTAATATAAGAAATTAAGGTTTACTTTGATATCTTGCTTTGATTTCTGTAACATTTTCATTTCAGAAGATATTCTATTCCAAGTAGATCAAAATTTTTTTCTCTCTGCCTTTACCCTTTATTATTTCTGGTTTTTTTTTTCTATTTTTTTTTTAAAGATTTATTTATTTATTATGTTTACAGCATTCTGCCTCCATGTATGCCTGCACGCCAGAAGAGGGCACCAGATCTCATTACAGATGGTTGTGAGCCACCATGTGGTTGCTGGGAATTGAACTCAGGACCTCTGGAAGAGCAGCCAGTGCTCTTGTCCTCTGAGCCATCTCTCCAGCCCCCTATTTCTGGTTTTTTAGACTGAGTCCCAATCTATCATACTAACAACAAATGACAATTAAAATTATTGTAGGTTTTTTTTTCCTCTTATTTTATACTTTCATGTTCTAATAAGAATAAAATGGTATTTATTGTCTTTGTCTCATTTTTGGAATTTAAAGTACTTGCCTTCTTTGTTAAATGAGTTTGAAAGTAATTCATCTTCTTCTAGTATACTATATAGTAATGTTATTTCTTCCTTTCGTGTTTGGAAGAATTTGCCAATGAAACCACAAAGACCTGAAATTTTTTGGAATAATGTGAAACTAAGTTTCCTTTATTTCGTTTTGAAAAATCAGAAGTCATGATGCATTCCTGGCTGGTCTGAAACTTGCTACATAGCCCACACTGGCCTTGAGTTCATGGCCTACCAAGTGCGTTATTCAGTTTGTCAGCATTGTGTTTCACAGTCAACTCAGGGAGAACTGTCAGCCTCCGCCTCCCAAGCAGTGGCTGCAGCCACTGTCACCACCATCACCCTGCATGATACAGTTCTTTTATTCCTGATTCTTTTAAACCTTTAGCTCCAACTGATTACCAGTTTCAAATTTTTACTGAACATTTTTAGAGATTTTCGCTATTGATGTATTCTTTTTTTTTTTAAAGAAAAGGGGGGATGGTATCACATTTTATTTCATTTTGTATGTCTGTGTGTGCGTGTGTTTAAATGCATGAAGGCTGGAGGACAACTTCCAAGAGTCAGTCTCCTTCCCCTGTGTAGGTCCTGGAATCTAAACTCCAGTATTCAGGCTTGGCAATAGGCAGCTCTATCTGCTGAGCCAGATTAATAGAGTATCCGGTTAGTATGTACAATGCTCTGGATTCCATCCCCAGAACTACAAAATGATGATGATGATGATGATGATGATGATGATGATGATGATGATGATGATGATAGCATTGGACTCAAGTGTAGTGGTGATGCAGTCTTTAATCCCAGGACTTGGGAGGCAGAGAAAGACAGGGATGTATGTGGTCTACATAGAGAGTTCCAGGACAGCCAGAGATACATATGAGACCCTAACCCCCCAGTCCCTACCCCCAGGAAACGAAACAAAAATTATTTAGAAAGAGTGAGATTCTTATTATATGTCTTGCCATTAATTTTTTTATGCTGTTGTTTCTTTATTTGCACTTAAAATTTGGGTTAGAATGCTTAAGGTGATAGGGGATTCCCCTCTGTATGCTGTGATTACCATTGATTAATAAAGAAATTGCTTTGGACCTATAGCAAGGCAGAACTTAGCTAGGCAGGGTAAACTAAACTGAATGCTGGGAGGAAGAAGGCAGAGTAAGGAGAAGCCATGTAGCCCCACAGGAGACAGACACTAGAAATTTACCCAGTAAGCCAACCCTCGTGGTGATACACAGATTAATATAGATGGGTTAAATTAATATGTAAAAGTTAGCTAATAAGAAGCTAGAGCTAATGGGCCAAGCAGTGATTTAATTAATACAGTTTCTGTGTGGTTATTTCGGGAGTCTGGGCAGCCAGGAAACAAGCAAGCGGCCTCCCACTACATTAAGGTTCTTTTCACTACTAAAGAATACATTAGCCTGGTGGTGGTGCACACCTTTAATCCCAGCACTCAGGAGGCAGAAGCAGGTCAATCTCTGTGAGTTTGAGGCCAGCCTGGACTAAAAGAGCTAGTTCCAGGGCAGACTCTAGAGCTACAGAGAAACCTTGTCTTGGAAAAAAAAAAAAAAAAACTTACTCGTTCAATCTGTTTTTCCATTTCTTTATGCTGTTCAAGGTGAATTTTCTTTGCTTTTTCAAAAGCAAAACAAATTTTCTCATGTTCTGTATTGATATTAGATTCAAGGTTTCTTATTTTTTCATTCTTCTCCTAGAAATAAAAATATTGGGAAGAATATAACCAAAAGCTGTTTTAGATAAAAATACATGAATCTAGCAATAAACCTGCCACATTCCATTCGTTACACTTTTATCAATAATTAAACAAAAAGACTGATTTCCAGACAACATGGTAGACTAGAAATTGTCTCTGTGATGGTCCAGAGAAGTATCAGGATGAGCGAAAGCAGGAAAAGAGCAAACTCTGGAGATTCCGAAGAGGAGCGCTAGGACTGCTCAGCAGCATGGAGAGACAGGATGTGACGCCACAAGAGAGAGCCCCACAGAGTAGCTTCAACTGACGTGGCAGAGGGAAGGCCTCATCCAAACATTACCAGACAACCCTAGTAAACATGAGATCAAGAGTCCTGCTAACAAGACAAATCCACAGCTCTCACGAGCCTCAAATCCAGCTGCTGGTCTTGCTAGGACTTCTTGGATAAAACAGAACAGAAGTAGAGGAGCTCTCCTGGCCGTGGCTGGACACTATCTTCAGGGAACCTACTGTTTAAAACTAAAACGCTGGGGCTGGAGAGATGGCTCAGAGGTTAAGAGCACTGACTGCTCTTCCGGAGGTCCTGAGTTCAATTCCCAGCAACCATATGGTGGCATATGGCTCACAACCATCTGTAATGAGATCTGGTGCTCTCTTCTGGCCTGAGGGCATACATGAAGGCTGAACACTGTGTACATAATAAATAAATAAATCTTTAAAAAAAAAAAAGTAAACCGTTCTGGGGGTCAGCACAAAGGGAACGATCACAGGCTCCGGTTGAGAGACAGACTTGGGATGCAGCCGCAGAAACATGAGGGCAGGACGCTGACAAGATGAAGGGAGGGCAGTCAGCTGTGCTGGAGCTTCATCAGCTGAGAGTAACTCTAAAGAATGACAGCCATGGGTGTGCGAGTGGATGAGTGTGGGAACAGATAAATCTCAGCCAGGTTCACTGTTGCTGATAACAGCCAGAAAGTGGAAACAGCCTAGATGTCCACCACCACTGAATGAATGTGGGTGACAGCTGTGTGGTCTGGGCAGTGGAACCAGTATTTATCCTTAGTGCATGGAACCCATTCCCTATAGAGGGATACTTTGCGCAGCATAGGTACAGGGGTGAGGGTCTTGGTTCTGCTTCAAGTGATCCAACAGACTTTGTTGACCCCCCTTGGGAGGCCTCATCCTCTCTGAGGAGTGGATGGGGAGGCTAGGTGCGGAAGAGATGAGAGCGCGAAGAAAGGACAGAGAACGAACTAGGATTGGTATATAAAATGAGATTGTTTTAAAAATTAAAATTAAAAAAAGAATATAAGAGCCAGAAGGGATGGAGGACACAAATAAATAAATCAAGGCCTTCTGACACATTACTGGTCCATATAACTCACAGACTGTGGCGGAATGCATAGGGCCTACACAGTCTGTACCAGACAGGACCCTAGAGCTGAGAGGAGAGTGGATACTCACACCCATCGCTGACTCAGAAGCTACCTCCAATTGATAGCCTCGAAGAAATGAAAAATTGGTTTTCTTCAAGGGAGTCTCACTGGAGAAACAAACCGCTCTTTATGGTCAGCTCCTTGCCCACCAGTAAATGATGAACACAAAATGAACTCAATGACATTTGGGGAAGTTCTTTGTCTCATAATGTTAAGTCAGGGTATTTTTAAAATTTATGACGTCTGGTTTTGGATGTTCATGGAATTTATGTGTGTGCCTCTATATCTACATGCACTTCTTCAGCTCTTCGTTATGTCCAGCTTTGGGTCATGTTCCAGTTAGTGTATTTATTGTTATGGGTGTGGATCTGGATGGAAGGGAAGATGGGGAGGCATAGGGAAGAGGATGAAGAGGGAAAACTGTAACCAGAATATATTTTATGTATTTTTTTTTAACTTTTGTGAGACAGGGTATCTCTGTGTAGCCTTGGCTGTCCTGGAACTCATTTCGTAGACCTGACTGGCCTTGAACTCACAGAGATCCACCTGCCTCTGATTCCTGAGTGCTGGAGTTAAAGGCCTGGCTAAAAACCTATTTTCAATGAAAGAAAAAGAAAAGCTAAAAATAAATCCAATACCTTGAAAAGGATACAAATAAGCAAATTAAGAAATTAAAGAAACCAATCCAGGAATTCTAGAAGAAAGTAAGCTACAGAACAAAGAAAATCATCAATATGGACAAAGTTGACATCATGGAATAAAATAACAAAGAAACAGAACAATCTAGAGATTCAGACATAAATGTGCGAGGTGAAGAAGCACAATGGGTCAAATAAAGAAAGCATCACCTACAGAGCTGGGGGTAGAGGAGGTGTAGCATGAATTATAGTTGGTTTTAATAATAAAACCCAGAGTCAGATATGGGGTTAATGCTGAAGATCAGAGAAGCAGAGAGGCCAGGTACTAGAAAGTTCATTGCCTTTACCAATGCTCAGACCAAAGGGGCAATACTGTTCTTCAGACTCCATCTACCTCCAGCTTAACCTCAGTCTGCACTGAGCTCCTGTCTCCTCCCACCATACATTGCTCTCTCCACCCAGCCATACCTATCCTGTCTCCACTTCCCCAGTGCTGGGATTAACGGCCTACGACTCCAAGTGCTGGGATCACCTTTGTGTGAGCTCTGTTTCTCTTTTAGACAGATTCAATTTTGTATAGCCCATGCCTTGAACTAACAGAGATCCCTTTGCCTCTGTCTCCTGAGTCCTGGGATTAAAGGTGTGTGCCACCACTCTCTGGCCTCTAGTGGCTTAGCTCTGCACTCTGATCTTCAGGCAAGCTTTATTTGTTAAAACATAAACAAATTATCAGTATAAGAGAGATACTAGGGATGAAGATCAAATTGAAGAAATATTACTTTCACACATCAGTGGACAGGGATGGAGAGAAGGAAGCAGCAGGACAAGGAAGAAGAAAAAGAAGGAAAAAGAAAGAAAGGAGGGGGAAGGAGGAGAAGGAAGAAGGAAGAAGAAAGGAAGCAGCAGCAGCACAGCCATAACTCAGAAACACTGGGAAACTACAAGGATACCAAACCTAAGAATGCATTGGGTAGGGGAAGGAAATGAAGTAAAAACTAGCCACTAGAAACAGCTATTCCCTGAAGCTACTGCAGAAAACTTAACAAATTTTAAAATGCTAAACACTCAAATCCAAGAATCTTTTAGAACCATAAACACAAATGACCAAAGAAGAGACTCTCTACAACATATTCTAGCCAGTATTTCAAAAATACAAAGCAAAGACAATCCAGTAAGATGATTCAAGGGGTAAAGATACTTGATACAAAGCCTGAAGACCTGAATTAAATCCCTGAGATCCACATGGCAAGAAGAGAAAATTGTCTCATAAACTGTCCTCTGACTTCACATGAAAAGGAAGATACCCAGTGTTTGCCTGGTCAGGTGGCAGATGCCTTCAATCCCAACTCTAGGGGATGTGAAGACAGGAGGATCTCCATGAATTTGGCCAACTAGGGTTACATAGTGAGATCATGTCTCAAAACAAACAAAAAAAGATTCCCAGTGTTGATATCTGGACCCTACATATGCACACATGGATAAGTACGCTTGTATACACAAAGACGTAACAATTGTAAATATACAAACACTAAATGTTCTGGCTGCAATTCCAAGCACTAAAAGGAATAAAAGGTTAGATAAGTTCTGACAGAATAATAGTGGGTGACTTCAACGCTGTACTATCATCTTTAAATCAGTAATCGCAATTAGAAACCAACAAAGAACCCTCAAAGTCATACTGTGGTGTGGGAGGTGCTTCTGTCTGTGCTGCTTTCCTGGTTAATGAATAAAGAAACTGCCTTGGCCTGTTGATAAGGCAGAACTTAGGTAGGCGGGGAAGACAGAACTGAATGCTGGGAGAAAGAAAGGCAGAGTCAGAGAAGTCATGGAGCCGCCAGAGACAAACATGCTGAATCTTTGCTGGTAAGCCACTGCCATGTGGAGATATACAAATTACTAGAAATGGGTTAAATTAAGATGTAAGAGTTAGCCAATAAGAAGCTATAGCTAATGGGCCAAACAGTGTTTGAATAAATACAGTTTCTGTGTGCTTATTCCGGGTAAAGGCGGCTGGGACGAACAAGTGGTTCCTTGCTGCTACAATACTACATAATAGATAAAAAAGACTAACAATTAAAAAGCAAAATAAAATGGCAGATTTTACCATGAGCTCCTGTTCAAGTTCTGCATTTTTTGCAGCAATAGAAGAATATGCAATAATTTTTTCTTCCAGCTGTTTTTCTAGAGTTAAAAGTTGAGAACATTTCTTTGTCATCTGAAAAAAAAAAAAACAATGCAGCTTTAAAAGAAATGACATACATTTTAAAATCAAATACCTATTCATCATTCCAAATCTGAAATACACTATAGCTAATAAACCAGAGAAATTTATGGTAATCGATAAAAAATACATTGAAAACTTTTAAAATTTTTTTGGTTGTTTTTCAAATCAGAAAGTTTTCTCTGTGTAAGCAGCTCTGAAAAGCTCTGTAGACCAGGCTGGCTGTTAACACACAGAGATTCACCTGTTTCTGTTTCCTGAGTGCTGGAATTAAAGACGTGTGCCACCAATGCCCAGCAAATAATCTCTTAATGTATATACTTAGGAACTAGAACTAGGCTGGTGATACAACTCAGCAGTAGAGTACTTCTATAACGTGCTGATAGCCCAAATTACTATAGCCAGCAAAATAATCAATCATACAGAGAAAAAAAAACATTAATAATAAAACCTAATTTAAGCAGCATCCATCTACCTATCTAGCTATACAGAAGGAACTAGATGGAAAATTTCAGTCTCAAGATTTAGCACACCCAAGAAAACACAAGGAATAAATAACCCCAGAACATAAATCAAAAGACTGGGGAAAGCCAGGTTGTGATAACACATGCCTTTAATCCCAGCTGTTGTGGGAAGATCACTTGTTTGTTTTTTGGATGACCAGACTCCAGAAATAATCACACAGAAACTATATTATTTGCAATACTGTTTGGCCAATAGCTTAAGCATATTTCTGGCTAACTCTTACATCTTACATCTCCATTAATCTGTGCATAACCACAAGGTCATGGCCTACCAGCAAAGTATCAGCATGTCTGTCTCTGGTGGAGGTGCCATAGCTTCTCACTATCTCCTCTTTCTTTCTCCCAGCATTCAGTTTAGTTTTCCCTGCCTACCACTATTCCCTGCACAGGTCCAAAACAGTTTCTTTATTAACCAATGGTATACAGAGGGGAATTCCACATCACCTAGCACTCAGGGAGACAGAGGAAGGAAGATCTCTGTGAGAGGCCCTCCTGGTCTACAAAGTAAGTTCCAGGACAGCCAGAGCTACACAGAGAAACTCTGCCTTGAAAAAAAAAAAAAAAGACCCTAAAAATTCCACTAAACTCTACTGATGTGGGATTTCCCTCTGTATGCTGTAAATACCATGGGTTAATAAAGAAACTGTCTTGGCCTGTGTTAGGGCAAAGAGTAGAGCTAGGCAGGGAAACTAAACTGAATGCTGGGAGAAGGAAGGTGGAATTTGGAGATGCCATGTAGCCGCTACCAAGCTGGAATCTTTCCGGTAAGCTACAGCCTCATGGTGATACACAGATGAATAGAGATGGGTTAATTTAAGAGCTAAGAGTGAGGTAGAAATATGCATAAGCGAACAAGCCAAGCATTGCTGTAATTAATACAGTTTCTGTGTGATTATTTAGGTACTGGGCAGCCGAGAGCAAACAAGCAGCCTCCTACAATACTCTACAAGTGGTAAGTACTTTCAGCAAAGTACTTTCACAATAATTTCACAATATCTTAAAAAAGTAAACAGAAAGAAGTTTAGAATAACCAAGCAAGTGAAAGACTTTAGTAATAAAAGCATTAAGACACTGAAGAAATGAAGACCTTAGAAAATGGAAATGATCTCCCATACTCATGGATGAATAGGGTTAATAAAGTGAAAATGGCCATCCTACCAAAAGCAATCCCCATCAGAATTCCAATACAATTCTTCACAGAACTGAAAACCATTGGCAAAGTGGAAAATCATTTTTTTAGTTTTATATGGAAACACAAAATAGCTGGGATAGCTGAAAACAATCCTGGATAATAAAAGAAACGCTGCACGGATCACCATTCCAGATTTCTAGTTGTACTACAGAGCAATAGGAATGAAAACAACAACATAACATTGTCATAAAAAGAGACACATTGATCAACCAATCTAATTGAAGAGTCAAAGGTAAGTCCACACACCTACAGACACCTGATTTTTATCAAAGAAACCAAAAATACATACTGAAAGACAGCATCTTCAACAAAGGTGTTGGTTAAATTGGATGGCTACATGTAGAAGGATGCAAATATATCCATAATTATCACCCTGTATGCTGGAAGCAAAGACCTGTATTTTGATTATAGCCATCTTAGTCACAAAGTAAGATATTTACCTCTGCAGGGCAAGTTCCTGGCCTAGGAAATTAACCCAGTATCTTATCTCCCTGTGAGACCTGCAGGCCCCCCCCCCTTCAGAAGCAATTAGCATTTCCTTTGCTAGTTTAAAGTCACAGACCCTCAGTATCCCCTTTATCTCTTTCTCTCAGCCAGAGAAGCCTAAGGACCTGACATTCCAGCATCCTACCCTCTCCCCCTACCCCCTGCCCTTTTGCTATAAAATGCTCCTGGGAAAAAATAAAGTTTGCAGTTTGATCAGAATTCAGGCTTGCTGGACAGTCTATGTCTCTTGTGTCTCTTGCCCTTCGCCTCCAGGCGAATTTGGTTCTATTCGTGTCCCGCTGGTCAGGACACCTGTACAAAACTCAACCCCAAATGGAGCAAGGACCTTAACCTAAGACCAGATACCCTGAATCTGAGAGGATATAAAGTGGGGAATAGGCTTGATTCGTTGGCATAGGAAAAGACTTTCTGAACAGAACACCGATAGCACAGGAACTAAGACCAACAACTGATTAACGGAACCTAAGGAAACTGAAAAGCTTCTATATGACAAAGAATACATTATTGGGGCAAGGCAGCAGCATACAGAATGGGAAAAGGTCTTTATTAACTACACATCCAATGGGGGATAAAATCTAAGATATATAAAAAACTAAAAACCTGGATATCAAGAAAACAAATAACTCAAGTTAAAAATGGAGTACAGAACTAAGCAGAGTTCTCAAAAGATAAAACACAAATGGCTGAGAATCACTTAAATGTTCGACACTGTTAGTCTTCCTCTAGGAGAAGCAGCTTCTGCCTCTCCCCACTTCTCCCCTTCCCCCTTCTCTCTCTCTCTCTCTCTGCCCTTCTCCCTTCCTTTCCATAACCACTAAATAAATATCCAACTCCACTCAGTATGGTGTGCCTATCTGTGTGTCTCCCACCCACCTGTGGCATGGTCTCGTGCATAGCCCCTGCCTAGGACTGGCTGCTCCCGCTGCCCACTGCTGGCAACTTGCACCGTCCTGGGACCCACTGTCTGCCACCGCCAGGGACTTGCAGAAAATCCATTAAAATTAGGGAAATGCAAATTAAAACTACATTGAGATTTCATCAGTCAGAATGGCCAAGATCACTAAAACTGATAGTTCATGTTGGTGAGCATGTGGGGTAAGGAAACTGTTATTCTCGGCGAAGGGAGGATCTATTACCAACTCAGAGCATATTATGGACTTACTAAAAGCTTCTCATCTCCCTAAAGCCATAGGAATTATTCACTGCTGGTCTCATCAATCTGACAGTTCTATTGTCTCCAAGGGAAATAACCGAGCTGACAGAGCAGCTAAGATGGCAGCACTCCAGAGCCCAGGCCTGCCTCAGCTACCTCAGGGAGTACTTACAGCACAGCCCACAGCCTCACAGACACCTCCTGACACCCAACAGGTGTCCTACCTACACCAGCTTTTTCATCCCAATGAAAAAGCCCTACTTCATTTTGTAAAAACACATATCAAACCCACACCTGAGGATATCAGGTTCCTAAAAGCCACCACTGCCTCCTGTCAGATCTGCCAAAAGTCAGATCCCAGGACCAAATATCGTAGCTTCCCTTTCCCTACCCACCAGGCCAGGGGCTCCCTTCCGGGAACCGAGTGGCAGCTGGATTTTACTCATATGCCCACAGTCAGGAAAATTAAATATCTCCTGGTTTTGGTGGATACAATGTCTGGGTGGGTTGAAGCCTTCCCCACCTCTAACAAGAGAGCCCAGACAGTCTCTGATGTTCTTCTCCGAGAGATTATTCCCCAGTTTGGACTCCCGACTTCTCTTCAGTCAGATAACGGCCCAGAGTTTACTTCCCAGATTTCTCAAAATCTGTCTAAAGCACTTGGAATCCCCTGGAACTTCCACATACCGTACCACCCTCAGTCTTCAGGTAAGGTAGAACGGACTAACTGCTCTTTAAAGGAAGCTCTCATGAAGATGTCACAGGAACTCCACCTCAATTGGGTAAGACTCCTGCCCCTTGCTCTTCTCAGGCTTTGGGCTCTCCCAAAGGGCCCCCTTTTCATTTCACCCTTCGAACTCATGTATGGGCGGCCGGTTTTAACCCCTGGCCTGTCATCGGGAACCTCTGCCCTTCCTGATCACCTGCTCACTCCCCTCCTTTTCCACTTATGTTCGCTACTGTGGGACTTCACAGATCACTCATTACCTCAGCCATGTGCTAATACATGTCCACTGCCAGTTAAAATAGGAGATAAGGTATTACTCTCACCCCCAGGTCAACGTCCCTCACCTCTTTCCCCTAAGTGGCAGGGTCCTTTCAGAGTAATTCTTCTAACTCCCACAGCTGCCAAGCTTGAAGGAGTCCCTCATTGGATTCACTTATCACACCTTAAACCATTTATCTCCACGGCTCAAGATAATCCTTCATACAGGGTAACCCAGACAGGACCCTGTTCTCTCAAGTTCCAAAGGGCATCAGGCTCAGCCCCCCCACCCCATCCGACACCTAATCCTCCTGTGTTAATACACCTTTCCTTCTCTAAATTCCTAAATAATCATTCAGCTGTCATTACAGATCATCAAATACGAAGTCAAGGGCTCGGGCGGTAAGCAGATTCTTAACAAAGTTCTTTGACATAACAGGTCAGTCGCTGACTGCAGCAGTGACCCCTGAAATGTTAAGGAACATACGGTTTAAATCTATTTCTTTTAAGACACTTTCTTTAAGCTCCAGGACGCCAGCCCGCCCCACCTAAACAAACCAAACACAAGCAGATCATTAACGGAATAAGTATAATTTAATTTTTTTATCATTCTTAACCCCAGACCTCCTAACACTCCCCCACCCCAAATCTCCCCTCTAATTTTCCAAACCTCCTCCCAAACCTCCTCTCCCCTTTAATTTTTTTTCTCTACTAATGCGACTTTTGTCTTTCAGCATCTTAACGATGACCCAGCTACTCAGGAGAAGCCAGACGGATACAATTTCTTCAATCAAGCCACCTCAAAACGCCAGCGGACAGGACATAACCAACAGGACATCGTCAAAATAATCGGACACTCCCTGGATCCCTCGACGCCCAAAGCCAGCAGGAAGCAGTCATGACAGACTGGACTACACCCCCATTCCTTACCCTTTAAGACCCCCCCCCAATTTTTTTTAATAAAACCAAAAGGGTGAAATGTTGTTCCTTTTGGAGACTACAGCTCCCAGCATTCCCCTGGACTACTGCGATGACATGTGCAGGACATTTCTCCCAGACGCCCTTGCGTTACCCGTTAAAAACGGGAGTCGCCTTTAGCCGTGCTCTCTCCCCCTCACTACCCTCTCATCTCCTCACACCCGTACCTCACCTGTTGTTACCCCCCCCCCATTAAAGTGCACCCACGTGGGACTGCCGCATGTCCGTGTCTCCTTCCTTAGCCGCACCACCGTGTGTCTCGCGTTTCACCTCCACCCTCTCCTCTTCCCCCGTTTTTAAGAATAACAGAAACAGTTATTCATTGCCAGTGGGAGTATAAACTAGTACAGCCACTATACAGATCAATTTGTCAGTTCCTTGGAAACTGGGACTAGGTCTACCACCAAATCCAGCCATACCAATCCAGGGCATATACCCAAAGAACTCTATAGCCTACTACCAGAATAGTTATTCATTCATATTTATTGCTGCTCTATTCATAAACTGTAAATGGCCTAGATGTCTACCAGCCAGTGAAAGAATGGTACATTTACACAATGTGGTTCATTTACACAATGGAATATTGTTCGGCTAGTGAAAGTTAGCTGGGCGTGATAACACATGCCTTTAAGCCCAGCACTTGGGAGGCAGAGGCAGATCTCTGATATTATGAAACTTGCAGGTAAATGGATGGAGATAGAAAAAAAAAATCATCCCCAATGAGGTAACACAGACCCCCCCCCCAAATATTGTATATCCTCTCTTAGATGTAGCTTTTAGCCTTTAAGACTTAAACAGGTGTGCTACAGCCTGTATAACAACAGGTTAGCTATCTTGTAAAGGGAAACTAGAATATATAATTGTAGAGGGTAGGGGAGACTGGACTGGGAGGACTAAATGGGGAAAGGGATGGAGAAGGGTAGGGAAGAGAATACAGTGAGGAACAGCCAACACTCAAGGCCATTTGAGGGCTCAAATGGAAACCTATTTATTCAGTTGTAAGTAGAATCTTCCTAAAATAGATACATAAATGAAAGAAATATAAATAACAGGAGACAATGCCTCAACTAGACGTCTATCTTTTGCCACCAAGTGAAACCTCCAGTGTTAGGAATGGGTTAAATCTAGTAGAGTCATTCACCAAAGGGGACCCATGGAAACCCCAAACATCTCAGGCTATTGCCATGGCTAGCAGGTGCCCTCCACAAATTGATGGTAAGGCCCTATTACTGAAGACAACACCTACATATCTCATGGAATGTGGAAAAGTCAAGTTGGTGCCTAACTGGGCCTTCAACCCTACTGACCAGTGTCCATAAACTGAAAGGTACTCTGCATGCTGCTCCAGAAGAAAAGGTACTACTAACCCTAATCTAAAATGGTGAGGTGTTGGTGCAATCACGGCTCATGTTGTGGGAGTAACCAACCCCTCTCTGATTGGATTTAAGGCCCACTACACAAGCTGGAACCCACACCTGATACTGCTCAGGTGACTAAGAATCCGAGCAGGACTGGCTAGGCCATGGACCTAGGTGAAAACCAAATACTACTGGTTCTGCTAAATGAACAGATCAATAAAATGACTCTTAAAGACATTCTGATATACCCACTGATCAGTCTCATCCATCCGTTACCAGAGAAGCTTCTTCATGCAGTAAACGGGAACATAAAGATCAGGGGCTCTTTTAAATTATTATTCTTTGTTTTGTTTCTTAGTAGGTATATGTTTCTTGTGTGACTTAGGGGAGGGTGTGGGTGTTTTTACTTTTGTTTGCCTGTTTTGTTTTGTTTTTTTTTTTTCTAATATGAAAGAGAGAAAAAATGGCAGAGTTTAGTAGGATCTGGGAGGAATTTGGAAGAAAAGAAAAATATGATCAGGATGTATTTTTTTTTTCTTAAAAAAATATTCCAATTTAAAGATTTATTTTAAGGGGCTTATGGGACATTCTCTAATCTATGAATAAAAGACTTTCAAAATATGAGAAGAAAGCTTTCTCAGACAAAACCTATTTACTGATAGATCTGCACTGGGAAACTTTTTAGAAGTTGTAAGGCAGAAGAAATATACCATACAGAAATTAATGAGACAAATATATAATTTCTTTTAAAAGATTACCTAATTGAAAAACATGCATAGTTACCTTTCAGAATATAACCCACAGTATTAGATTCACATGTAACATTTTAAAATTATATTCCTGAGTTATACCTGCTGAGTCACAGTTGATAGATTCTATTACAGTGCATAAAGATATGCCCCTGGGACTGGTTTAGTAAACACTAAGCAGCCAATAGCTAGGCAGGAGGTGTGGCTGAAATTCTGGACAGAGAAAGCTCTAGAAGAATGGCAGAGTTGCCAGCAAGACACAGGGGAAGAAGACATACAGGAAAGAAGGTAAAAGCCACAAGACACATGGTAACATGCAGATGAATAAAATCGGGTTAAAAGAGCGAGTGGAACAACCCTATGCTATAGGCTGGCCTTTTTATAATCAATAATAAGTCTCCATGTTGTTCTTTTTGTTTATTTGTTTTTGCTTGTTTGTTTGTTTTTGTTTTATGAGACAGGGGTTTTTCTGTAGCTTTGGAGCCTGTCCTGGAACTAGCTCTTGTAGACCAGGCTGTCCTCGAACTCACAGAGATCCACCTGCCTCTGCCTCCCGAGTGCTGGGATTAAAGATATATACCACCAACGCCCCGGCTTTGTGTTGTTCTTTTGTGAGCTGGAGACCCAAAGAAATATCAGTCTACAGCCAGGAACCCAGAAATCTCCATGTTCACAGCATTCCAGTTGGTGCTGAAATTTGAAATTCTCTATTACCACTCCTTGTCTTCCAATCAGAACCTAAGATCAATAAACGTGTACTATCTTACATTAACATATTTTATTAGTTCCATCAAATTTGAGAACTTTTAGCTACTAGGTAATATCTTCCTACTTTCAATATAAATTAAACATACATTTCCATTACAGTTCTAAAAGACATGGTACCATTTTCCAAAGCCTTATGAATCTAGACTTCAATATTTACAAAACCCCATAGTAATACTATTTTTTTACCTCAAAGTTTAGTACTTATACCCGAATAAATCCAAACTTACTTCACTTTCCAGTTTGCTAGCATTTGAAGCTTTCTCTAGCAGTTCCTCTTGAATCAGCTGAAATTGCCTAGTTCTGTGTGCCATGTTAACCTTCAAATCAGAATTCTCAGCTTCTACTTGTATTAGCTTAGCACGTAGTTCTTCTATTCCAGTAGCAAGTCTTTCTTTCTCTCTTTCATACTGCTTGTTTATAGTATGTTTGTTTCTCTCCTTCACATTTTCTGAAATTTAACACAAAAGAAAAATTGCTCTAAATCAAAGTTCTAAGAGTCAAAAATTGACTTAATTACTTGAAAGATTTAATAATAAAGTTTATTTTCTTATTTAAATAATTAAAGAATATGCAACTTAGTAGCTGTAATATAGCACATAAAAAGACTTGTAAGGACAAAAACTCAACTGATGCACAAAAGGCCTTCAACAAAGTTCAATATTCTATCACAATAAAACAACCTGAGCTGGGCAGTGGTGGCACACGCCTTTAATCCCAGCTCTTGGGAAGCAGAGGCAGGTGAACCTCTGTGAGTTTGAAACCAGCCTGATCTACAAAAGCTAGTTCCACGACAGGCCCCAAAGCTATAGAGAAACCCTGCATAAAAAAAAACAATAAACAAACAAACAAACAACGTGAAGAAACTAGGCATAGGAGGAAGATAAGTCAGCATAATAAAAGCTTTATACAACAAAACCTTTGGCCAACATTATATTAAATGGGAGAAAATGAAGACTATTTCCTTCAAAACCTTGAACAAGACAAGGAGGTTCACTGTCTTGTCTCTTATTTAAAATAGTTCTTAAAGTCTTAGCTAGAGCAATACTATAAGAAATAAGGGAGGGGGGGGTCCCAATTTGAAAACAATATGACCTAATATTTAAAGTACTTAGAAATAACCTAAGGTAGCAAAAGACTGTTGTTGTTCTTTTTGTACACTGTAAAGATGTGTCTTTGCCAAGACACCTTCTGATTGGTTTAATAAAGAGTTAAATGGACAATAGCTAGGCAGGAAGAGGGTAAGCAGGACTTCTGGGAAGAAAGAGGGAAGAAGAGATGAAGCTAGGTGCAGGAGAGACACTAGAGGCCATGGAGAGGAAACAAGACACAAGATTGAAGAAAGGTAATGCCACAGAACAGAATACAGATTAACACAAATGGGTTAATTTAAGTTATAAGACCTAGTTAGGAACAAGCCTAAGCTATAGACCAAACATTCATAATTATTAAGAAGTCTCTGTGTCATTATTTGGGAGCTGACTGATGAGACAGAAAAGATCTTGCTACAAAAGACCTCTACAATAAAAAAAAAAAAATTAAGAGAATGTAGAAAGAAACTAAAGACAACAGTATTAGTTGGAAAGATCTCCTGTGTTCAGATTGGCAGAATTAATTGTGGGAATGGCCACAGAACTCAAAACAAACTAGAGATCCAATTTGAAATACCCATTAAAATTCCAATGGTGTTTTTCACAGAAATGAAAAAACTATTTCTTTTTTTTTAAACATACCAATCCTAGTTCCCCATCCCTCCTTTCCTCCAACTCCCCCAACTTTGCCCCCACTCTACACCACCCCAAGCTGTTCCTCAGAGAGGGTAAGGCCTCCCTTCGGAAGAAAACTAAGTCTGTCTCATGACCTAGTTGAGGTAGGACCAAGGCTCCCCCACACCCTCCACCGCGGGCACCTAGGCTGAGCAAGGTATCTCTCCTTAGAGAATGGGTCAGTTCATGCATTAGGGTTTGATCCTGGTCCCACTGGCAGTAGCCCACATACTGCCCAAGCCACATGATTGTCACCTGCATTCAGGGAGTGAACCTAGTTCTGTGCTATGCAGGTTCCCCACTTGTCAGTCCAAAGTCAGTGACCTCTCACTATTTCAGGATCAGATAATTCTGTGGTGGGTTTCTCCATCATGGTCTTGACCACTTTGTGCATTGATGTGGGATTTCCCTCTGTATGCTGTGATTACCACTAATGAATAAATAACTGCTTTGATCCTATAACAGAGCAGGGAGGGTGGGGCAGAGCAGAGCTAGGTGTGGAGGACTGGACTGAATGCTGGAAGAAGGGAGGAGTCAGAGACAAGCCATGGAGCCTCTGCTGGAGATAGACATGCTAAAACCTTGCTGGTAGGCCACAACCTTGTGGTGATGCACAGATTAATGGAGACGGGTTAAACTAAGATATAGGAGTTAACAAATAAAAAGCTAAGCTAATGAGCCAAGCACTGATTTAAATAATAATTCTGTGTGATTATTTCAGTTCTGGGTGGCCAGGACAAACAAGTGACCCCCCCACACACACACACACACACTACAGTTCATAACTCTTTCGATTGTACTCCGGGAGCTTGGCCCTGTGCTTAGCTGTGGATCTCTGCATCTACTTCCATCTGTTTCTGGATGAGAATTCTAGCTTCTCTGGGGTTGTGGACTATGGGCTGGTCATCCTTTATTTTATGTATGATATCCACTTACGCGTGAGTACACACTTCACTTGTCTTTCTGAGTTTGGGTTACCTCACTCAGGATGATTTTTCTAGTTCCATCCATTTGCCTACAAATTTCAGGATGTCATTGTTTTCTAACCACTGAGTAGTACACCATTGTGTAAATGTACCACATTTTCTTTATCCGTTCTTCAGTTGAGGGACATAAGGTTGTTTCCAGTTTCTGGTTATTACAAATATTGCTGCTATGAACATAGTTGAACAAATGTCTTTGTAGTACGAGTGTTCATCCATTGAGTATATGCCCAATAGTGGTATTGCTGGGTCTTGAGGTAGATTGATTCCAATTTTTAAGAAACCACTATACTGATTTCCAAACTGGCTGTACAAGTTTGCACTCCAACCAGCAATAGAGGAGTGTTCCCCTGACCCCTGACTTCACATCCTCTTCACTGTTTTTTATCTTAACCATGCTGATCAGTGTAGGGTAGTATCTACGAGTTGTTCTGATTTGCATTTCTCTCATGGCTAAGGATATTGAGCATTTCCTTCAGTGTCTTTTGGCCATTCCAGATTCTTCTGTTGAGAATTCTGTTTAGATAAGTATCCCATTTTTAATTGGATTATTTGGTAGTGTGATGTCCAGTTTCTTGAATTCTTTGTATATTTTGGAGATCAGCCATCTGTCAGATATAGAGTTGATGAAGATTTTCCCATTCTGTAGGCAGTTGTTTTGTCGGTGTCCTTTGCTTTACAGAAGCTTCTCAGTTTCAGGCAGTCCCATTTATTAATTGTTGATTGAAGTATACTACTGCTGTTATATTTAGTAAGTATTTTCAGGTGCCCATGCATTCAAGAGTACTTCCCACTTTCTCCTCTGTGAGGATTAGTGTGGTTGGATTTATGTTGAAGTCTTTGATCCATTTGGACTTGAGTTTTATGCATGGGGAAAGGCATGGATCCATTTGCATTCTTCTACATGCCAACATATAGATATGCTCGTACCATTGGTTGAAGATGTTTTATTTTTTCCATTTCAAAATTTTAGCTTCTTTGTCAAAAATCAGGTGTTCATAGGTGTATAGATTAATAGCAGGGTCTTCAATTTCATTGGTCCACCTGTCTGCTTTTATGCCAATATCATGCTTTTTTTTTTCATTACTGTAGCTCTATAATAGAACTTGAAGAGATGGTGATGCCTTCAGATATTCCTTTATTGTACAGGGTTGTTTTGGCTATCCTGGGTGTTTTGTTTTTCCATATGAAATTTAGTATTGTTCTTCCGAGATCTATGAAGAATTGTGTTAGGATTTTGATGGGCATTGCATTGAACTTGTAAATTGTCATTTTTACTATGTTAATTATATCTATCCATGAGCATGGGAGGTCTTTTAATTTTTTGATATCCTCTTCAATTTTATTCTTCAAAGTCTTAAAATTCTTGACATACAGGTCTTTCACTTGTTTGGTTAGAGTTACCCCAAGATATTTTGTAGTGATACTTCACTTGTATTTTAATAAATAAGGCTTGCCTGAAGATTAGAGAGTAAAACAGCCTCACTGGCCAGCCTTACAGCCAGGTAGTGGTGACACACACTTTTAAACCCATTAGTAGCCACACTAGTTTGCCATAGAAACCAGGCAGTAGTGGTGCATGCCTCTAATCCAACCAAGCACTAGAGAGGAATATAGGATGAGAGAAGACAGCTCTCACTCACAGTCTCATTCTGAGATTCCTGGAGGCAGGACTGCCATTTCAGACTGAGGTAGAGGTATGAGCCAGTGGCTGGCTATTTTGCGTTTCTGACCTTAGGCTGAACCCCAATATCTGTCTCTGGGTTTTTATTAATCATGCTACAGATAATGTCTGTCTTTGAGGTTGAGGTGTTTCTAGTATGCAGCAGAAGGATGGATTCTGTTTTCGTATCTAATCTGTTAGCCTGTGTCTTTTTATAGATGAATTGAGTTGGCAGAAACAGGGCCGGTGCCTGTGGGAGCAGAATTATCACCAGGTGCAGCCTGAGCAGCCAGGCTGCGGCCTGAGAAGCAGGCCATTGACTGCAGAGTTGCAACTGCTGACTCAGATAGCAGTAGATTAAGGCACAGTCACTGTGTCAAAGTAAAAATAACACACCTGCCTCTACCTCCCAAAGGGCTGGGATTAAAGGGGTGTGCCTCCATGATTGGTAACCTGTCTATTTGAAACAGGTACATATTATTGGATAAAATTTTGTTTCAGCAATATAATTTTTTAAAAATATTTATTTATTTATTTATTATGTATAGAATATTCTGTCTGCGTGTATGTCTGCAGGCCAGAAGAGGGCACCAGACCTCATTACAGATGGTTGTGAGCCACCATGTGGTTGCTGGAATTGATCTCAGAGCCTTTGGAAGAACAGGCAATGCTCTTAACCGCTGAGCCATCTCTCCAGCCCCTCAGCAATATAATTTTAAAATAATGCATAGTCTAACAATTATACAATAATTCTTTCTGTCTTTTCAAACCATAAGTATTAATAGGAAACTAAGAGTACTTTTTTTTAATGCTATCAATAATCTGTTCCTTTAGGACACTATCAACAAAAACTGATTATCATTTATTAAAGTAATTCAATATAAAATACTCACCAATTTGACTACCACCTAATTTAACAGGCTCTGTTTCTAAAGTGTTTACTTTGCCGCCTTCTTGAACACCATCACAAGAAGCACACTTCTGAGACAACTGATTCACAGTTAGGTTTGCATGAAGCTTCTGAATTTCAGCCTCTTTTATTGCAAGCTTAATCCTAGCACAAAAGAAAAGAAGCAGAAATGACTAAGATTCTATTTTTTTTTTTTTTTTGGATTTTTCGAGACAGGGTTTCTCTGTAGTTTTTGGTTCCTGTCCTGGAACCAGCTCTTGTAGACCAGGCTGGCCTCGAACTCACAGAGATCTGCCTGCCTCTGCCTCCCAAGTGCTGGGATTAAAGGCGTGCGCCACCACCGCCCGGCTTAAGATTCTATTTTTAAAGTAATATTTTTCACCTTTAAAACTGTAAATACTGGGTCAACAAGATGATTCAGTGAGGAAAGTGCTTGTCGCAGAAGCTTGAGGACCTGAGTTTGGCCCCTGGGTCCTACAGTAAGAGAGAAATGACTCCTGGAAGTGGGGTTTAACTCCATGTAACTGCTATGGTGGGTGTGTGTGTGTGGGTGTGTGTGTGTGTAATAAAATAATGAAATGAGTAAAAACTTTAAAAATCTGATAACAGTCAACTCTTATGCAAGACACACAAATTCTTCATTTGGTATTTTTGTTTTTCTTTTTTGAAACAAGATCTCTCCACATAGCTCTGGCTGTCCTGAAACTTACTACATAGACCAGACTGGCCTCAAACTTAGAAATCCACCAGCTTCTGCCTCCTAAGTGTTGGAATCGAAAGCATGCACACAGCCAGTTAGGAATGGAATTTCCTAACAAACTACTATCTGGACTGCAAGCTGCTTCAGCCACTTCTCAAACATGATTTTAAAAAAATGAAAATATAAATACTCTACAACCTATAAGCTCTGTTAATAATGGAACAAAGATTAAAAACTACGTAACTATCAGAGAGGATGGATAAATTAATTGTGACACAGTTCTAGGAAAGATTACTACAACTATATTTTTTAAACATAATTCTTTATTGATTCTTTGGAATTCCTACAACTATTAAGGTAACCAAACAAATGTATCCTTTGACCGATTACTCTATCTTAATAAGGATGGAATTTTTTTTAGATTTATTATATACATATATATGTATAAATATATATTTACACACCTACATATAGTTTTTTAGAGATAGGGTTTCTCTGTGTAGCTTTGGAGCTTGTCCTGGAACTCGCTCACAGAGATCCACCTGCCTCTGTCTCCCAAGTGCTGGGATTAAAGGTGTGCACCACCACCACCTGGTAAGATTTATTTCACTTTTAATTATGTGTATATGTATGTCTTATAGGATAAGGTATGTAAACATGAATGCAGGCGCTAGCAGAGTCAGAGATGTCCTAGAGCTGGAATTCCAAGTTGTTGTTAGCAGCCTGACATGAATCCTGGGACTCTCAACATTCTCTGTACAGCGGTACACTCTCTCTAGCTCTCACTCTCTCTAGCCCTAAAGAATGGATTTTTTTAAATGATGCTAAGCTAATATAAACATTAGTATACATATTTACAACTATGTAAGAATATAAACATTTACAATATAGATAATATTAAGAATCAGTTTTAACTTGGGAAGTCTACATTTTTATAAGATTCTCTGGAATTTCCTATGCTTTTTAAACTACTCAACTAAGCATCTTAACTTAAAGATTAACAAAACATTCTATTTACTGTAACTTTCAAAACTGAAAAGCATACCTCAATTCTGAAATCATCAATTTATTTGCCTCACAGCAGCCAAGGCAATTGTCCTCCTTGTTAGAAAAAGTATTCGTCTGGTGCTTAGAAAGAGATGACTTATAGCCAACTACTTCTCTTTTTAACTGCAAGTGTAAAAACAAACATTTATAAACTTATGTATAAGATATAACTGTTTTCTTAGAATTCTCAGGTTAAAAAACATGGAAACAATCTGGCATCTATCAGTAGAATATATAAGCATGTTTGAGTTGTGCAAATCAATATGAATACATTTCAAAACCTAATACTTAATTAAAATGAATTACAGTATTTAGAAATAGTTTTTTCAAAAACTCACAAAGCGAAGTTTTTCTACTAGATGCATCTATATGTAGCAATATTTGGAATATGGATAGGAAAGATATAAGAATTTCAAACTAATACAGGATTTTACAACGTAGTTATGACAAAGAGCGAAGCACTCAATGACTAAAAGCTTCGAGCTATAACCAAATCAAGTTTTCTAGAAATGAAAAGAACTCCATATTCCCAAGTCAGACTTAGCATTTTATGAAACAAAGGACTAAACATATATTATAACCACCTTTAGAATCATGTGAAATCATTCTTGACACTGAGCACAAATACAAATTTCAATTTAAAATAAGTATATTAAAATGAATATATATCTGCATATTATGTTTCACTCTTAAAAGGCAACAAATTGTAAACTAACATCTTGGTAAATAACGTCTAAGCAGATAAAGCAAAGGCAAGGAGCTTAGAACCTGTTCCTGCTAATTGCTCATTAGGTTAATATTTCTCTGTAACCACATTTTTGAATAGTGAAATGACGTTCTCAAATCTGATGATTTCCTTATGACTGACGACACGTTAATACTGGGGAAAATGTGCCATGCACTCTACATTCATTCTTAAGTAAACAAACTGTGTCACACCTGTATAATTTTCTCATTCTTACCTTTATTTCATACCTATCAATGTCAAATTTCTGGCACATGGACATTTGCCTTTCTAATCTCATTGGCATACATGAATATTTTTAATTCCATGTTAGTCTAATAAGTATATATAAAGTTTCTGAACATTAGCCATCAGAAAAATAAAAATTAAAACCACAGTGAAACACTAGTTCTCACAGACTAAGATGGACATAGAGAGACACAACAAATGTCAACAAAGATGAAGAGAAACAAGAATCAGTACTAGAAGAGTTCTAACTGTGTAGAAATTTTAGGAAACATTTTGATATGAATTTCCCAGAAATTTTATTCTTAGGTATCTATCCAAGAAAAACTGAAACATGTCATCAAAAAAACTTCTATGGGGCTGGAGAGATGGCTCAGTGGTTAAGAGCATTGCCTGTTCTTCCAGAGGTCCTGAGTTCAATTCCCGGCAACCACATGGTGGCTCACAACCATCTGTAATGAAGTCTGGTGCCCTCTTCTGGCCAGCAGACATACACACAGACAGAATATTGTATACATAATAAATAAATATTAAAAAAAAAAAACTTCTATGCCAATATTCACATAAGCACTATTAATACAGACTAAAAGCAAAAATAGCCCAAATGGTCACCAATTGGTACTTAAATAAGGTATGGTATATGGATACAACTGAATACTTTTTGTGGTGGTTTGAAAGAAAATAATCACAAAAGGAGTAGCACTATCAGGTGCGGCTTTGTCGGAGGAAGGGTGTCACTGTGGAGGTGGGCACTGAGGTCTCATACATGCTCAAGATACCGCCCAGTGTCTCAGTGTACTTCTTTGTTGCCTGCATATCAACATGTAGCAGATCCTTCTCCAGCACGGCCATGCCACCATGCTCCCCACAATGATAATGGACTAAAGCTCTGAAACTTGTAAGATCCTACTTCAATTAAATGTTTTTCTTTATAAGAGTTGCCATGGTCATAGTATCTATTCAAAGCAAAAGGAACCCTAACTAAGACACCATTCAACACAAAAAAGAAATGAAATACTAATATCTCAATGTGAATGACTCTCAAGAAATGAAAAGTAGAGAAAAAAAACAACATGCTGTTATAACTGTACTCATATGAAATGTCAAGAATCGACAAATCTATAGAAAAAAAAACTATAGCTGGTTTTCCCGAAGTGGGTGTACTAACTGTGGAGGCACCAGCGATCTTCCGGGGTGGCAAAATATGTAACACTGGAGTGTGGTGACTGTTACAAAGTTGTAACTTTACTAAAACTCACTTAATAGCATACCTTAAAGGAATGAATTTTCAATATATAAATAACACTTCAACAAAAATCTTTTAAAATTCTGTGCAGTTCTTCTATATGGCATCTCAGAGACTAAGAAAGGGTAAGTGTGAGGGAAACAACAGGCTGAACAGACAAGGAGAAGAACGTAAGCCAGTAGAGCAGCCACAAATGATGCTCTGTACACCAGCGGCTTCCTCTTCCACCGCAGTCAAGCGTTCTGCACTTCACACACACTTACCGGCATCTGGGACATCAGTTTTTCTAAGCTCCGCAGCTCCAACCTTGAACTATCTATTTCCTGCTGACACAAATCCAGTCGTTCATTCTGTGCTGCAACACGAACCTTCAATTCTCGGTTTTCATTTACTAAAGAAAATTTTTCTCGCAATACTTCATCTCTGTCTTCTAACTCACTCTCTAGTTTCAGGATACTTTGCCTAGATTCAGTTAACTGTGACATGACTTCTGAATTTTTCATTGCCATAATTCTTAATTTTTCTTTTCCATTGTTATTCTCTTCTTTTAACTGCCTATAAAGAAAACAGCATTAAACTTAAAATAAAATGAGCATACATTTTCAATAGTCACATTTACATTGTCTTACTTTAAAGCAAGGGAACAAGGAAAAAAAAGGAAAAAGTAGAGGCCAATATTCTATATGAAAATAGCAAATATTCTCAACAAAATGCTGCACACTGAACACAACTATGTTCTGAAGATTCGTCACATCTATCCCAAGGGTACAAGGGCAGCAGGCCAGGTATGGTGGCTCGCATATCTTACAAGTACTTAAGAGGGGAAGGCAAACCGTTCTTTTTCCTGAGGACAGATTACAAAGAAAAATATTTATGCTGGGCATTGTGGTGCATGCCTTTAATCCCCACACTCAGGAAGCAGAAGCAGGCAGATCTAAGAATAGCCTGATCTACAAAGTGAGTTTCAGTAAATATAACCAGGGCTACACAGAGAGAGACCCTGTGTTGAAAAACAACAAGACAGTCTGAAAAAACAAACCGAACTTAAAAAAAAAAATTAGGAAAAATAATTAAAACCAGGCAGAAATACCTGGGTGTGGTGGAACACGCCTTTAATCCCAGCACTCATGTGGCAGAGGCTGGCAGATCCATCTCTGTGAGGTTGAGGCCAGCCTGGTCTACAGAGCAAGTTCTAGGACAGCTAGGGCTATTACACAAAGAAAACATATCTTGAAAAACCAGAGAGAGAGAGAGAGAGAGAGAGAGAGAGAGAGAGAGAGAGAGAGAGAGAGAGAGAGAGAGAGCGCGAGGAGGTAAAAATTAATAAAATAAAATAGAAACAAATATCCAAGAGTTGGTTCTTTGAAAGGATAAACAAAGGCTGGGGAGTCAGCTTTGCAATTAAAGGTATTTGCCACTCCTAATATGGGGAATGAAGTTCAGATCCCAGCGCCCACGTCAGGTGGCTCACAACTGCTGGAACTCCAGCTCCAAGGGGTCCAACACCATCTCCTGATTTCTGTGGGCCACGACATGCACCTGTACTCACACTAAAAGAATGCACACAAATAATGAAAATAAAAGACAAAAAGATTGGAAAACTGTAAGACAAATTAACCAAAAGAAAAGGAAGATTCAAATTGATAAAATTAGAGATGATTAGTAGCTTTATTCCAGACATGCAGAGGGAGTTTAATTTATGCAAATATAACAAGTTATACAAATGGACATAGAGACAGAAATCACACAATCATCTCGACAGATACAGAAAACATCTCTGACAAAATCCACAACTCTTCATACTAAAATTCCTTGAGAGAAAAGTATAGAGAAACACAGCTCAACACAATAAAGGCTAAATATGACAAACTCATAGCCAACATTATGTGAAACAGAAAATGTCATCTGCTGCACATGAAACATCCACTGAAATCACGGAGTCAGAGCATGTGCACTGCCTACACCACACAGGTGTAAGACTGGATCTGTAGAAGACACTCAGGCTCCTGCCCTTCCCTGATGAGTGTGAAAAGAGGGGTCACTGTCCTCATCTGTACACCCATTGGGGAGAACACCAAGCTCCGTTACATAGTCCCAAACCTGGACAGAGACAGCCCTGCATAAACTCAGTTGTACACAACACAAGAAGACATGAACTTGGGGGTGATACTGAAAGAAGTAGGAGGGAGAGGCGAGATTGGAAGACGAGAGTAATCAGAATATATTATGTATATACACACATATGAAATTGTCAAAAAACAAAATTAATTTAATAAAATAGAAATCTAATTACTTGACGAGGGACAGAGATCAGTAATAGATCACTTGCATGACACCTGCAAGGTCATGGAGTTGATCTCCAGTACTGGTATATGGGGAAGCATCTAAGTATAAAAAGTATTTTATAAGTACTATAAAATATACAGATACAGCTCAATGGTATTGTTGTTCTTATAAAAAACCCAAGTTCAGTTCTCAGTACCAATAGTAGGTGGCTCACAACCACATGTAACTCCAGCTGCAGAAACCCAATGCCCTTTTCTAACCTCTGAAGATATTGTATTGACAAACACAACACCCCAACTTGGATGCAGTCACAAATATACACACATTTAAAATAAAGACAAAATCTTTTTAAAAGTTATTTTATAAAATATAAAATAAAAATTTTAGTGATCAAACATTTTATTAAAGAATAATTGGCAAAATTTCACTTCTGGAATCATATGTTTTAATTAATAACATCAGATTCTAGGACTTATTCGAGTAATTTTATCTCATCTACCAAGGCAAAATACTAACTGTACCCACTTTAAGAAAAATGTGTTGCAATTATACAATTACAAAAAAATTATTTTAATTGTTCTCCCTACCTTAATAGTCTAAGGTTATGAAAATGGATATTAACTTGGTGATGTGGGATTCCCCTTTGTATGTTGTAAATGCAACTGGTTAATTAATAAAGAAAACTGGCTTGGCCTGATTGGGCAAAAGAATAGAGGTTTTCTATTCTCAGGGAAGACTAAACTGAATGCTGGAAGAAAAAAGGGTGGAGTCAGAGAGAAGCCATGTAGCCCTGCCAGAGAAGAATGCTGGAACTTTAGCAGGTAAGCCACAACCACGTGGTGATACACAGATGACTAGAAATGGGTTAAATCAATATGTAAGTTAGCCAATAAGAAGCTAGAACTAATAGGCCAAGCAGTTACATAATTAATACAGTTTCTGTGTGATTATTTCGGGGTTAAGTGACCAGGAACAAGCAAGTGGCCTCCTTGCTACAAATTTCTGAAAGTTGATCAGAATTATTAGTTATTAAAAAATTATATTGTATAGAGTATCAGAGTCAGCGGATTCAGTTAACATCTTTAATTTTTAAAATTTCTTGATCATTATAATTAAGGTGTATGAGGGAGGGATAAAGGAGGGGAGGGAAAGGCCACACGTACAGGCCTCACGTACAGGCCTCACGTACAGGCTGGGAGACAGCCATGAGGAGTCAGGTCTCTCCCTCCACATTCATGTGGGTGCCAGCAATCAAATTCACATCGGCTGGCTTATGCAGCAAGTGCCTTTACCACACCTACCCAGTCCCTAATCTACATTCCTGACTAAGGAAAAATAGTGGCTACTCTCTGAGCCTCTGTTTTTTCTTTTATATAAAAAAACAGCCGGGCGGTGGTGGCGCACGCCTTTAATCCCAGCACTCGGGAGGCAGAGGCAGGCGGATCTCTGTGAGTTCGAGACCAGCCTGGTCTACAAGAGCTAGTTCCAGGACAGGCTCCAAAGCCACAGAGAAACCCTGTCTCGAAAAACAAAAAAAAAAAAAAAAAAAAAAAAAAAACCACAAAAAAAAAACAAAGAAAATTACACTCGATAATTTTCTTCCTCTTGAAAGATCTTTAGAAGCTAGCTAATGTGATTACACTCCAAGAGCATTTTCTGTATTATTCTACGTTTACAATGTGTTAGAATTAACATGTCTTATTATATTTAAAATGATGGGTTTATAAAATAATTCAGTAAAGAAAATGGAGTACAGACCTAAACAGAGAACTCTCAACAGAGGAATCTAAAATGGCTGAAAGACACTTAAGGAAATGCTCAACATCCTTAGTCATCAGAGAAATGCAAATCAAAACAACTCTGAGATTCCATCTTACACCTGTAAGAATGGCCAAGATCAGAAACACTGATGATAACTTATGCTAAAGAGGATTAAGGTAAGGAAACACCCCTCCATTGTTGGTGGGTGTGCAAACTGGTACAGCTGCTTTGGATTTCAGTGTGGCAATTTCTCAGGAAATTAGGAAACAACTTTCCTCAAGACCCAGCAATACCACTTTTGGGTATATATCCAAAGTTTGCTCAATAGTACCACAAGAACATGTGTTCAACTATGTTCATAGCAGCATTATTTGTCATAGCCAGAACCTGGAAACAACCTAAATGCCCCTCCACCGAAGAATGGATAAGGAGGATGTGGTACATTTACACAATGGAGTACTACACAGCAGAAAGAAATAATGTCATCTTGAAATTTGTGGGCAAATGGATGGATCTAGAAAACATCATATTGAGTGAGATAACCCAGACCCAGAAAGGCAAACATAATATGTACCCATTCATAAGTGCCTTTTAGACATAAAGTAAAAAAAAAAAAAAAAAAAAAAACTGCCTTCAAATCATAACCTCAGAGAACCAAGACAACAAGGAGGACCCTGAAAGAGAGAGATTAATGGATCTAATCTAGTTAGGAAGTAGAAAAAGACAAGATCTCCTGAGTAAATTGGGAGTATGGGAACCATGGGAGAGGGTAGAAGGGGAGGGGAGAGAAAGGGAGGGGATCAGAGAAAAATATATAGCTCAATAAAAACAATTTAAAAAATGATGGTTTTATACCTAGAGAAATTTTAGTCATGAATCTTAGCCTTCTACATTACATTAAAAACTCTATATTTACAGTAAAAATGTTTTTAAATGCTTTTAAATGTTTTCCTTTATCCCATTTGCATATTAATATTTTTTCCATGATAATGTACCTGAATTTCTCTTTCAAAATTTCAAGTTCACTTTTATACAGATTACACTTTTCTTGAAGCCTTTTGTTTTCTTTTTCACAGTTACTAAGATTTTTCTCTAATATTTCTTCTTCAGCTTGAACCTAAAACAAAAATTTGTTTTAAGTGAGTACACTAATCCAATCACAAGCTTCACTTTGTTTAAACTAGAACTGTGAGCAGTGATTCTGGAAGGAAACAGGAAAAGGCTAAATATCTCATATACATTCCAGTTCCTGGTACTGCAATGAAAGGAAACAGCCTAACACAGAAGACAAAAAGAGGACATTAGTACTTATTCAGAAATCCGTACGGGCCAGTGACAGATTGGCAAAAACAACGTCACCTGAAAGCAAATGTCAGGTCAAACATGAATAAAGCAAGCAATTCATATAGGGATTGCATATCCAAGTAATCAAACCCCATTGCTCTTAGTTCGGGTGGTGGCACACGCCAGGCAGATAGATCTCTGAATTCAAGGCAAGCCTGGTCTACAGAGCTAGTTCCAGGGCTATGCAAAGAAACCCTGTCTTGAAAAAAAAAAAAAATTGCCCTTCAGTACACGTGTTTCAGAAATCTAATTTTAAAATTTTAAAATACTCCTAATGAAATAACAACCCAAGCGGCCAACAAGACAGCTCAGAGGGTAGGTAGGGTACTTGCTGTTTAGCAATGCAAGTCTGACAACCCAAGTTTGTTTCCTGGAACCCAAGTGCATTGGTTTACATGAGAATGGCCCCAGAGGCTCCAGTTTGAACTCTGTCTGGGAAGGATGGGAAAGTATGGCCTTATTAGAAAAGGTGTGTCACTGGGAGCAGGCCCTGGAGTTTCAAAAGACTGCCGCTATTTCCAATGTGTTCTCCACCTTCTGCTTGAAGATCCAGATGTGAGTTTTCAGCTGCTTCTGTCACCGGCTTTTACTCTGGACCATGTGGAATCATGGCCCCAAAGGAAAGCTTTCTTTCTATTATAGATGGCCCTGGTTGTGGTGTTCGTGTCAGAGCGACTGAAAAGAACTAAGGCACCACGTAAAGGTGGAAAAGAAAAACAATTCCACAAAGTTGTTCTCTGACTGCCTCATGTACAGTGTTGTGCACACCACAAACACACGTACACACACGATGACAAGTTACGATGGCACTCAGGTTGAACAAGAAGAGTGGAGGATTGAAATAACCTATTACATTCCCTTTGTTATATTAACTAATCCAACTACAGGATTTTGCTGAGCAAAATTACAAACTATTAACCCTAACTAAGTTTTAAAAATCAATTACATTTTCCTTTTTCCTTGAAGACATTCTTCCTCTAAATGTACTTTTCTCTCACATCTCACCTTACTAAATGTCCCTTCTAGGATATACATCCCCATGAGAACCCTCTCAAAGACATCTAAACATCAAACATTTTCTGATTAAGACATACTTAGGTTCTCAACAGCTACAAAGTTATTAACACTGTGTCATTTAATGGTGCTTACAGGCCAGCAACATATCTCAGCGAGCAAAAGCAATTTCAGCCTGGCCTAATGGCCTGATTCTCTTAGGACTCTCGTAAGTAGAGAGAACTAAGTCCCACAAGTTGTCCTCTGACCTTCAAATGGGCAGTATGGCACACACGCGAGACAGAGACAGATGATGTAAATGGTATTAACAACTTTCCTGGAAAGGAATGGCAAATGCACTCTCTCTCCCTTAGCACCCAAAGACTGACCTCTTCAGCTGCCATGCCAGTATTAAAACACTGACTCACAAGACTCTGGCCACTCTTACTTTATTTTAGCAGCTGTTGATTTCATTATGCTTTTGTCTTTTTGCACATACCTTTGAAAACTGTGGCTACTTTCTCCTTACAATTTTGTTACGAGAAGCACTCACCCTACATTTCTAAAATCCCTCCCATAACTCACCCGATACGCTATTCAAACCATCTTAGCAGCGTCTTCATCACACCAAAAACACGCAGTACAAAACCCGTCAACTTCCTACGGAAAACTTTTTTAACTTTGTTCCTCTGTGTACCCTAGGCTTTCCTGGAACTCACTCTGCAAACCAGGAATTCACAGAGATTCTGCCTCTGCCTCCCAAATGCTGGGATTAAAGACATGTCACTATCACTCAGCTCAACTTATTTTTTTTTACATTTTTTACACATCTACCATTTTTTTACATTTTTTACAATTTACATTTATACATTTTCATCTATATTTTTCCATTAAAAAATAAAGCAAGGTCTTTAAAGAGACAATACAATCATAGATTAAAGGAATAAAATAATTAAATAAATAGTAAAAAAGTAATAGAATAAAAACAAGGCACCCAGAGACAGATGCTGGGAACTTTAGCTAGTAAGCCACAGCCACGTGGTGTTACTCAATATTAATAGAAATGGGTTAAATTAATATGTAAGAGTTAATCAATAAGAAGTTAGAGCTAGGGGGCTGGAGAGATGGCTCAGAGGTTAAGGACACTGACTGTTCTTCCAGGGGTCCTGAGTTCAATTCCCAGCAACCACATGGTGGCTCACAACCATCTAAAATGAGATCTGGTGCCCTCTTCTGGCCTGCAGGCATACATGGCGGCAGAACACTGTATTGTACATGTAATAAATAAAATATTTAAAAAAAAAAAAAAAAAAAAAAGAAGTTAGAGCTAATGGGCCAAACAGTGACTTAATTAATCCAGTTTTTGTGTGATTATTTTGGATCTAAGCTAGCCGGGCAGCAACAATGATCTCTGTCTCCATTTTCAGTAAAAATGGGAATGAATTTCCTGGTTCTGCTTCTCTAGCTCCAACCTCTGCTCACTCCTTCCTTCTCTAACTTTTTCTATTTCTTGTACCTGCTCTCCTACTCCTTCAGTAAAGGTTTCTCCTAGGAGTAAAGACACTGATGAGCATCTTCCTTAACTAATATCTAGGAGTAAAGACACTGGTGAGCATCTTCCTTAACTAGTATCGCCTAGTAGTAAAGATACTGGTGAAATTCTTCCTTAACCAATATTTTCAAACTTTTTATGTTGTTAGACATAATGTTCCAAATAGCTATAATCCCAGATACTTTGGATGCTGAGTCAGTAGGACCTTGAATTTGAATTTGGACGCCTCTGGACAACATCACAAGACCTATCTGTAACATAAGGACTGGAGAGATAACTCAGTGGTTAAGAGCATGAACTGTAGAGGACCCAAGTTCAGGTCCCAGCACCAACATCAGGCAGCTGACAGCTTCCTGTATCTTGAGCACCAGGGGATCCAACACTTCCTTCCGGTCTATATGAGCATTACACTCATGTATATAGCCCCCCTTCCAAAAAGACATGTAATTTAAAAAATTATGATGATTTAAAAAAAAACACAAAATTAAAATAAATTTGAAATAAAGGTTTTATTTCAATTACTTTATTATGAAAAAAATCTTTAAAAGTATATTCCAGGACTGGAGAGAACTCAGGAGTTAAGATCACTTGCTATTCTTGCAGAGGACCCAAGATCAATTCCCAGCACCTCTATGATTGCTCACAAACATCTGTAACTCCAAGGCCAGGGGCTTTGACACACTATTCTGGAAAGCATACATGTGATATGCATACAAAAACCCATACATATGAACTAAAATAAATATTTTTTAAAAATTGTTATTCCATAAATAAAAACATCCTGTGTAATACACAATCTAATTTTAGATATGGACAGTAATTCAAGACACTGAGTTTGAGCAAACAGTTCTCTCACCTTTTCCAGTTTTTCAGCCACTTTTTCTTTATATTGCTGGAAAGCTTTGCTCAGCTCTTCCGCATTATACAGCGCTTCATTTCTTTGTCGTTCAGCTCTAAAGTTTAAAAAGAAATTTTAAAAAAGTAAGGAATTCTCTACATTGAGAAGTTAATCTTTAAGCAAATTTGTGTGCATGCGTGTGCAGGCCATATGAGTATATGTTGTATATACGTATGAGCATATGTGGTATATGTCACTGCATATGTGTACACATGTGTACGTGGTTACATGCCCATGTGTTTGAACATGAATTTGGAGGCCATAGGTCAACATCAAGTTTCTTCCTCAATGGTTCTCCACTCCGTTTTTTGGGACAGGGTCCCTTCACTGAACCTGGGGATCACTGTTTTAACCTGGCTGGCTACTCAATGAGTTCCAAGACTCCACTGTGTCCATCTCCCCAGTGCTGAGACTACAGATCTATGTATGCAGGCTGCAGGGCCTATTGGGTACTGGAAATCCAAACTCAGGTCCTCATGTTTACCAACTGAATCATCTTTCCAGGCCCAGAAGAAATTTCCTTTTTTAAAACTTAAAGAGTAGAAGGTTTTACTGTGAAAGGATGGCTGATTTCACAACAATAACTTTCTCACTCTGGCAAAATAAATGAAATATAGCATGAAGTGCTTATCAACTCAGGATCATACATAAATTCCTACACATAGGCAATTCCACAGACCATAGGAGCATCCTGACACTGAAAAATAAATTCTAAGTCTTCCATACTCAATCTATGGCATAGAATATTAGATACCAATTCTATGACCCATGCAAAGATTAAGTTAGTTTTTAAAGGGTACTTAAAAGACAAAAACAAGCAACAGTAACAACACTAACTCTCAGGAGACAGAAACAGGCAGATTTCTTTCAGTTTGGAGCCAGCCTAGTCTACATATTACGTTCTGGGACATCCAGAGTTACATAGTGAGACCCTGTCTCAAAACATAAACAAATCCAGTAATTTTTACTAACATAAAAATGAACAACAGAGGGCTGCTGAGAAGCCAAGGACAATGGCACTGGGTTCTGATCCTACTGCATGTACTGGCTTTGTGGGAGCCTAGCCTGTTTGGATGCTCACCTTCCTAGACCTGGATGGGGGGGGGGGGCCCTGACTGCTCTTCGGACTGGAGAGGGAGGAGGAGGGGAGTAGGGGGGGGAGGGAAAAGGGAGGCGGGGAGAAAGTGGAAATTTTTAATAAAAAAAATAAATAAAAGTGAAAAAAAGAACTGAACAACAAAACCGATCACCACCATGCACTATTTAAACCAGACCTTGTTCCTTACCTCCTGGGTGAGCCTGATTTTCCTTACATTTCTCAGTTAGCTGAGAGCACTAAGTTTCATTAATTAATATTATCCCCATATAAGAATGTTTTTTATACTTAAATCACACCTATGGTAGTTTGAAAGTGGCCTCCAAAGGGGGTATTAAGAGGTGTGGTCTTGCTGGAGGAAGTGTCACTTTGAAGGTGGGCTTTGAAGTCTCATATATGCTCAAAGCTACGCAATGAGACAGCTTATTTCCTGTTGCCCCTGCAAGGTCTAAAACTCTGAGCTGCTTCTCCAGCACCATGTCTGCCTGCATGCCACCATGACCCACCATGATGATCATGAACTGACCTTCTAAACAGTAAGCTACTGAACTAAATGTCTTCCTTTATAAGGATTGCCGTGGCCATAGTGTCTCTTCACAGCAATAAAAACCGTAACTAAGACAGACATTAAACTGCATAACATATACAATAATTAATATTTGTTAGTACTTAATTATATAATAGGCATCTAACATGTCTTTTTCTCATGCATACCAAGGAAGTATCAACTTAAAAGATGTGTTACAGGATATCTGCACAAATTGTGGAAAGATGTGTTGCCTAAGGCACCTGATTGGTTTAATAAATTGCCAATAATAATAACTGGTTTAGCTAAATTGCCAATAGCTAGGCAGGGGACAAAAGGCAGGGCTTCCAGGCAGAGAGAGGAACTCAAGGTTAGAATCTGGCATGGCAGAAAAAGTCAGCAAGACATGGAGGGAATCAGACTTACAGAATGGAGAGGACGTAAAGAGCCATATAGCAAAACAGATGAATAGAAACAGGCTAATGTAAGTTATAAGACGTAGTGGGACAAGCCTAAGCTAAAGACAAAGTTTTCATAATTAATACTAAGTCTCCATCATTAGTTGGGGGCTAGTGGTCCAAAGAAAGTCTGAAAAGAAAGTCTAACTACAGATATGAAAAGCTGAAGTTTTAAAAATTAAATGATTTTCCAAGATAACAAAGACAATGAGAGGTAAAATTAGCTGACGCCCAAGTTTAAACATTTTTTATTACAAAATACTGTCTAACAAATAACAAATATTGCTGTAAAAAATTTCTTCCAAACCTATTTACACGAAAAAATAACTTCTATATATGTTTGGAGTAGTCTTTAGGAGTGTTAACTACATATGAAAGCAAATACTTAGCCTATTAAAGAAAAAGTTACCTATTCATTTATGTGATTGTTTCTTTGCTTGTGACACTGAGGACTGAACTTACAATGTGATGTTCTGAGGTGTATCACCAGCACTCTTTAAACTACTTTCTTTTAAAACATGGGCTAAGTTGAAAGGCTGAAGGTGAACTCATTGTAGTTCAGCTAAGTCTTAAACTCATGGACCTCTTCAGGCTCCTGAGCAGCTAAGGTCACTTTCTTTATAATCCAATATATGTCATAATATAAATCTACAAAACATTTTATTGTCAAACATAAAAATATAGATTATGAGGCTAGAATAACAGATCAACAGTTAAGAGCACTTGCTGGTCTTCAAAGGGTCCAGTTTCAGTTCCCATCACCCACCTGGCAGCTCACAACCACCAACACCTCCAGTTTCAGGTAATCTCATGGCTTATTTTGACTTCCATGGGCACCAGGCACACATGTAGTATACATACACATAGGCAGTCATACTGCTCATGCACATTAAATAAAAGGTTTTCACATGTAGATTATGATTTAATCCTATATAAAAGCTGCAATAGACTACAGATGCAACTCAGTTGGTACAGTGCTTGCTTAAAATTCACAAGGCACTGAATCCAAGCCCAACAAAGAAAATAAAGTCAAACAAAAACTCCCTAATAGTTGCAATAAATTTCATTGATTTGAACTCAAAAGTGTTATTAATGTAAAAATTTATTAGTATTTGAAGTTGATCATTCCAGCAAGGCTTAGTGCCTTAGATCTGTAATCCCATCATCAACAAATTTGAAAGCGAATAGACAGAATGAGAAAAAAATCATCCTGAGTGAGGTAACCCAGACTCGGAAAGATAAACATTGGACGCACCCACTCAAAAATAGGTATTAACTACAAAGTAAAAGATAATTTCTGCATCTGTGCACACAGAGAGAGAGGCTAAGTAACAAGGAGGGGCCAAGGAAGGGAGGCATGGGTCTCCCAGGAAAGGGAAGCAATCTCCTGGTTGGACTGGGAGCAGGTGGGCATGGGAACTTGAGGAATATGGTTGGGGGATAAGAAGGGGGAGAGTGCTGAGATGAATGGAAAGGGGGGCTTTATGCTTGGCAGTGGTGGCGCACGCCTTTAATCCCAGCACTCGGGAGGCAGAGGCAGGCGGATCTCTGTGAGTTCAGGGCCAGCCTGGTCTACAGAGTGAGTTCCAGGACAGGCTCCAAAGCTACAGAGAAACCCTGTCTTGAAAAACAAAATAAGGAGGTTGGGAGGGGGGGGTCTTTACAGTTTGGCGGAAGCCTGATGCAAGGGAAACTTCTACAAGTCTACAAGGATGACCCCAGCACAATGGATGAATAGCCTGAATGGGCCATCCCCTGTGATCCTTAGATGCAGTGACTGATGGTTCAGAGACCACAGCAAACATTGGGATAAGCTCGGGAAGTCCTGCTGAGCTGAGTGTTGAGACCAATTAAGTCCTGGCCTTTAGCTGCTCTTCCCTGTCTAGAGCCTTCTAATTGAGGTTACAAAAAGCTGTGCCTAGCTTAGAGGATCAGAGGATGGGATTTTCACCTGTTGGCCATTGACTGTTGGGTATTTAAGCCTCCATGGTGCTATTAAAGATGGGCTTTTGGTACCAGTGTTGGAAGGTCTGTGTGTCGGTCTGTCTCTGCATGTGTATTCTCAACCTCCAACCCCTTGCCCGAAGCTCGCGAATTTGGTGGTGCAGTGCGCGGCAATTGGAGGTTCCTCCGAGATACCCGGAAAGGGAACACTGAGACCGCCCTTGGAAGCCCTGCCGAGAGAGGTAAGCAGACAGCGACGTTCCTGGCCGACAGGGATGTATTGAGGAGTAAAGATGGGAGGTATCTTTTCTTTGTTCAGAAAAGAGTCAGTCGATAGGGAGGAGTTTGATGATTTAGAGTTTGTAGAGGACAGTGAGGAGGATTCATCAGAAGAAGAGGAGGAGATCATATGTAAGGAAATAAGAAATCTCGTAAGAAAACTGAGAAAACATAAAGAAAAAATTCACACCCAACTCCCTCGGCCCCACCGGCTTATAATGACGAAGGTTGGTGGTCTCAGTTGAGTAGGGGCTCTGGCACTGAACAAAACAAGGGAGTTTGTTTCCGTCCTGTACACATGGTTGCACCGGTGGTGGAGGTGCCAGACACCAACAACCCAGGGCAAATAATTCGCCAACATTTTGCTATACAATTTAAAGAAATGAAGCTATTAAAGGAAGCTGTAGCTGTATATGGGGCTCAAGCTCCCTTCACGTTGGCCATGGTAGAATCTTTCTCTGCTATGAATTTAACACCAGTGATCGGCAGCAATTATGTCGTGCTGTCTTATCTGGGGGAGATTATCTCCTATGGCGAGGAGAATATCAGGAAAATTGTAAGCAAACGGTCCAGTTAAATGCTCTAGCGGGCCAAGCTCAACGTAATTTAGATATGTTAACTGGGGCTGAGGCTTATGCCAATTTGCAGCAACAAATTCTGTATGATCCAAGAGCATTCACCCAAATAGCTGCAGCTGCCACTCAAGCGTGGAAGGCCCTGCCTAACAAAGCAGCTGGGGATCAATTATCAAAGTTCTACGAGGACCATCTGAACCATTCCAAGATTATGTAGATAGACTGTTACAAATAGCAGGTAGATGGTTTGGAGATGAGACACAGCCATGCCTATGATAAAACAACTTGTATTTGAAAATTCCAATAGATATTGTAAGGAAGCATTATGCCCTCACAAAACAAAGAGTTTAAATGAATCTATCAGGATATGTAGAGATATAGATGGGAATTTCATTCAAGGCCAGGTTATAGCGGCAGCTATTCAACCTCGGAGAAACATAACAGCACTGGGTAAGAGGGCCAGAGGCTGTAATTGTTTTAACTGCGGAACTCCTGATCATTTTCGAAAGGAATGCCCACAGCTGATAATGAAGGGAAGGAGGAAACCTGGCATGTGCCCTAAATGCAGAAGGGGAGCACATTGGGCTAAAGACTGTTTCTCTAAAACAGATATAGATGGGAAACCTCTGCCACGTACCATTAATCCACAGCAGGGAAACTGGCAGAGGGCCCTGCTGCAGGGCCCCAAAACCTCAGTGTATGGAGCAATGACTTCGGGGCCGCAGGAATGGTACCCCAGCAGAGGCCATGTCCAGTTCCTTCCGCAGAGAAATCCTTTCGCATTGCAAACCTTGTCGGAGCCACACCAGGGAGCTCAGGATTGGACCTCTGTGCCTCTGCCGGAGCAGTCTTAACTCCACAAACGGGAGTGCAAGCACTCTCTACAGGAGTACATGGGCCCTTACCACCGGGTACCATGGGACTTATATTAGGCAGAAGCAGTACCCTTTTAAGGGATCCAAATACATCCTGGGATAGTAGATGCAGACTATCAAGAGGAGATTAAGGTTATGACATCTGTCCAACAGGGGGTGGTGGTAATTCCTCAAGGCGAGCGGATAGCACAATTAGTGTTGATTCCCAAAGTTCTCAGTCTTTGGGATAGGTACAATGGAAACACCTTCTTACAGGACAATGGAAGGAGCCCACGCCCCTGTTGGCTAGGGTGAGAGGAGCAGTTTGTCTTTTTCCTCCAGGAACGGACAAGCCCATTTGGGTACCAGAGCAATATGTTCGGGCTGTGGAAAATGATGGGAAAGGATCCTGTGATGAGCCTGAGAATGACACCTGTTATTCTCTTGAGCCTCCTGGTGAGTCCCAATCAAGCAGAAAGCACTGTGTGAAGCTTGGTAAGGAACCCCCTTGTATTGATCAGTGAGCCAAACTAGTTCTTTGTATTCGTCTTTCTATTCCTCAAACTATACTGCAGGCACTGCTTTAAGCATTATGGCGATGGGGCAGGCTTCTATTAATCAAACCTTTTCCTTTGTGAATGCTTTATGCTTTGTTACATTTTTTTGGGCTATGAATATTACTTTAAAGGAATTTCTTATTCTTTTTTGGAATATTTCTCTGAGAGCCCAGGCACTATTAAATCCTGTGTTTGTTTTAGTTTTCTTTCGGCAGCTGAGGGAAGCAATGTAGGATCCAGGAGTGGGGTCAGGGACACTGGAGGAAAACCTATAGAAATGGCTGGCCTGGCTCATAGGACTGACCTAGGTCCTCTAGACATGTGACAGTGTGTAGCTTGGTCTATTTGTAAGAGTCGTGGCAATTGGAGCAGGGCTGGCTTTAGGAACCTATCCTTCATGCTGGATCTCCTTGTCCAGTCTTGGTCTTACTGCAGCTTGATATGCTTTGCTGATGACCAATGGAGGCCTGCCCCTTTCTGAGAGAATACAGAAGAGGACTGAGGAGGGAGAAAGGAGGTGGGGAGAAGGAAAGGGAGGAGAGGAGAAAGGAGAGGCTGCAGTCAGGATGCAAAATAATAAATTTAATTTTTTTAATTAATTAATAAAAAAGTAAAAGACAAACACAATTTTCTGAAGGGCAATTTGGTATATTTATTTATTTATTGTTTTTCGAGACAGGGTTTCTCTGTGGCTTTGGAGCCTGTCCTGGAACTAGCTCTGTAGACCAGGCAGGTCTCGAACTCACAGAGATCCGCCTGCCTCTGCCTCCCAGGTGCTGGGATTAAAGGTGTGCGCCACCACCGCCGGGCCCCAGCTTTATTTTCTTAAAAGTCTTAAAACATTGTCCTTTGATTCAGAGATTCTATTTCTTAGAAGTTATCTATATGAGCTGGGTGTTGGTGGTGCACACCTTTAATCCCAGCACTCGGGAGGCAGAGGCAGGCGGATCTCTGGAAGTTCGAGGCCAGCCTGGTCTATAAGAGCTAGTAGTTCCGGGACAGGCACCAAAGCTACAGAGAAACCCTGTCTCAAAAAAAAAAAAAAAAAGTTACATATATGAAATGAGAGACATACAGTGTCTTAGTAATCTTGGGAAAACAGCGAATGTTCAACAAGAGGAAGATAAATGAAACGTGACTGAGTCACATGATGACGTGCAATGCAACTGTTGGAAGATGTGTTTCTAAAAACGTATTTTTGAAATAAAACAAAAAAGCTAAAATATAAAGCAATGTGTTCTGAGTACTGGATGAGGTAAAGGGCATTGGCAAATAAGAAAAATAATCTGTGTGTGAAATAAGAAATAACAGTCAGTCAGGCAATGGTGGTGCATGCCTTCAATTCCAGCACTCGGGAGGTAAAGACCGGCTGATCTCTGTGAGTTTGGGACCAGCCTGGTCTACAGAGTGAGTTCCAAGGCTGTTACACAGAGAACCCCTGTTTTAAACTCCCCCCCAAAAAAAGAAAGAAAAGAACAGACAGCTAAAAATAAACAAAAAAGATGAAAGAGATGAAAGATGGCAACCAAATACCTTGTGTTAGATAAATTAATAAATAAAAGTTTATAGTTCCTTTGTTGGGACTAATTTACAAAGCCTCATCTCAAAAGACAATATATAGAAAACAAAAAAATTGTTCATATATTTCTAAAGTAGACTAATCACTTGCTCATGAATTGACTTTTCTTATTCTTTAATATTTATGAATTGAAATTTTAGAGTGTATGCAGTATTTTATTTAGAAGAAATAAGTACAGAAAATTAACTTACTGGTTTGAAGTTAACACAATTTAATTTCACAATTATGTGTTAAATACAATATAATTTATAAATATTATAAGTATATAATTTAATTTATATTAATTTATATAATATATAATATAGTGATGATTAATATATATCATTACAAATATACAAAAAGTTAATCCTAGTCTAGAATACCAGTAACAAAATCAACACATGAACATTTTAAGGAAGGCCAAAGAGAAGACTCAGAAGGCAAAGACACTTACCACTAAGCCTCCGGTCTGGAGTTCAATCTCTGGGACTCATACGGTAACAGGAGAAAACTGACTGCTGTAAGTAGTCCTATGACTTCCAAACACATTATTGGCATGTATGTGACCACACACATACATACACACAAATATATAAAAAATGTAATAAGGGCTGGAGAGATGGCTCAGAGGTTAAGAGCACTGACTGCTCTTCCAGAGGTCCTGAGTTCAATTCCCAGCAACTACATGGTGGCTCACAGCCATCTATAATGAGACCTGGCACCCCCTTCTGGCTTGCAGGCACACATGGAAGGAATGCTATACACATAATATAATAAATAAATAAATTTTAAAAAATGTAATAAAACTTGTACTTGAAAAATATTAATAAAAATGGACATAAAAGGATTTATTCTACTGTCAAATGTCTAAAATATTTTCACTTCAGAATTTCCCTTACAGTCAGGCAGGATGACTAGGCAAACCCTCTAGCACATCTGCAACACCAGCCCTTAGGAAACTGAGGTGGTCATCTGGTGACGCACACCTTTGATCCCAGCACTCAGGAAGTGAATCTCTCGGTTAAAGGCCAGCCTGGACTACAGAATGAGTTCCAGGACAGCCAGGGCTACACAGAAACCCTATCTCAAAAAAAAAAAACAAAAGAAAAGAAAAGGAGAGGCAGGAGGACTACAGCAAATTGGAGGCCAGCCTGGGCGACCCTGTAAGTTCCAGGCCAGCCAAGATTACATGGCAACAACCTATCTCAAATATAAGTTATTTGTTTTAAAAGGAGATATGGCTCAGTGGTACAGCTGTTGTACAGAATGCACAGGTTCAACTCAGAGTTACAAAACAAGGAAGAAAATCTCACATACCTTTTTCCTTGTTTACTTTGTTCAAGTAAGTCCACCTTCAATTTTATACATTCCTCTTTGGCCTCTTGTAAACTCTGTTCCTTTTCAATCACCATTTTCTGACTCTGCTCTAATTTATCTTCTGCTTCTCTATAAATAGAGAAAAAACTTAAGAACTATGACAGTGATATTGGAGAAATACAATAATGTGACAATAGGAATACAAAAGACAATATAAGAGGAACAGCACGTGTCCATGAGTCATCAAGTACAGTGGTAGATCATTTGTATTTGAACAAATAGATCTCGCCTGAAGAACAGAAAAGCAAGGCACCTAAGCCACTAGAAAAGTCTTACCTCTATCAAAGCTGGGCAACCGCACACTAAGCCTCTCTCGCCTCCCATTTTACATTCCCTCTGGTGCTGGGATTAAAGATTAAAGATCTGCAATACTCTTGTGTAGCCCAGGTGTCTTCCTGGGATTGAAGGTGTGTGTTACCATTGCCTGACCTCTGGTGGCTTTAGCTTTGCCTCTGGTCTTCAGGCAAGATTTATTAAAATACAAATAATATTGCGCTATAATCAATGGAAAACTATATATATATAGCATAAAAAAATACTTTGATCAAATGAAAAACCCACATAAAGTAAAAGTCCACACCAGATTTCACACCCAACAATTGAGCATGGTGGAACACGCTCATATTTACAGCATTTAAGAGGAAAAGGATCAGGAATTAAAGTCATCCTTAGCAGTCTTTACAAAAGCAAACATATTTCATGCAAACTAGAAGCATTACTATATACTTCAGAAACAAAGCAAATATAATTGATATCATTTCTACAACCAAAGATATCTTTAACTGTTCTACCCAATGAAAAACACAAAAATGGAAAAGTAGAAAGAAGTACAAATTCTGAGCAGGAAAATTTTTGTTATTTGCTGGTAATTATAATTTAGTTACCTAGAATATTGAGAATGATCACAATGAAAAATTACTAGAATAACAATGGCAGAGAGAGATGGCTAGTGGTTAAGAAAACTTGCTGCTGGACAGGCACCAAAGCTACAGAGAAACCCTGTCTCGAAAAAACAAAAAACAAACAAAAAAAAAAAACTTGCTGCTTTTCCAGGGGACCAAGGTTCTATTCCTAGCACCTATAACTCAGGTCCAAAAAATCTAACACCCACCCTCTTCTGGCCTCCATGAGCAGCAGGCATGCACATGGTTCACAGACTTATGTACAGACAAAATACATATACACATAAAATAATTAGAGTAAATAAGAATACAAGAAATAGTCCAGGAACACCTTTAATACCAGCACCTAGGAGACAGGAAGGCAAGCCTGCCCTGCACAATGACACACTATCTTAACATGCAAACAAATGCCAGCAAGACTGCTAAGAGGTAAAGGTGCTTGACACTAAGGCTGATGACTTGAGTTCAAGCCCTGGAACCCACATGGTATTAGTAAAGTAACTCCCTAACCTTTGCATGTGTGCCATGACATGCTCACACCACTGCCCACCCCCAGTGAAGAAATAAATGTAATAAAAACTTTTAAAAAGAAATATTCAATTACAAGTAACTATTACATGTGATATAGAAATCAAGCCAGATACAATGATGTATGCCTTTAGTCCAAACACTTAAGATATTGAGGCATTAGAATGACTTGAGCCCAAAGATTCAGGACCAGCCTGGCCAACATAGCAAGACTTTGTCTCTTAAACCCATAGAGGTTATAAGGGTACACAGGAAAGATCTTTAAAGAGAGGGGAAATAAAGTGTTATAACAGGGAAAGTGAAAAAATAAGACAGGAAGTATTAAATGGCATGGGAGATGGCAGGGATGGATAACACCACAGGCCTTTTGAGAAAGCCATATGGAAACTGTAGAAACTTCCTAAAATATATATATATCCTGTGATGGGAAAGGGAAGTTCCCTAAGTAGATACCATACTCTCCCCCCTCCCCCAAAAAAGGTACCAGCTCCCCATATCAGTAACAGGTTACCTCTTTTTGAATTATTGGCCAATAGGCTCATGGAACCCCAAAGATTACAGGCTACTGCCACTGTTCTTAGTTACCCTCCAGAATCTGATGGTAAGATCCTACTGCTGAAGATACTATATAATTGAGTCATGGAACATGGAGAAATCTAGCTACCACTCAACGGAAAGTTTATCGCTACTGGAAAAGAAAACAAGCTGAAAGATTTTAAGATTTTGAGAATGTGTGACTTTAAGGAAGACAGTGTATTCTAGAAATAACAGGGAAGGTACATCACAACAATTATGAGAGCATACACAAGACCTCTATAACCTCAAGTCATGAAATTCCGAATGGAAAAAGGAAGAGTACAAAGTCCTACCCATAACTGAGGAGCTATTAGCACCTGATAGCTTCTGAAAGGAGAATAATTTTTCTTTAATGGTATAAACTCTGGTATATCAACCGAACTCCAGGACAGGCCCAATATCTAAGAGTAGTTGGCCAAGAGTAGGGGGAGCAGGTAAGTGAATGACCTTGTGCACACACACAAAGTTGCATGCATAGGGAGGGAAGGGCGAATCAGGGAAGAACTGGAAGAGGTGGATGAAGATGATCAAAATACACCACATGAAATTCTCAAAGAATTAAAAAAAACTAATCAGAAAAAATTCACAAAACCAAAAATATATTAAATTTAATGTATGTATTACAAAGAAAGTTTTAAAACGGAAAAGCTTATACATTAAAATCACCTATGATACTAAAATTTAGCTGAACATGGTGGTACATGCCTTTACAAAGAACACTGGAGGCAAAGGTAGCAGGATATCTGAGTTCAAGGACAGCCTGGTTTATATAGAAAGTTCCAGGACAGTCAGAGCTACACAGAAAATCTTGTATCTTAAAAAAAAAACAAAAAAAACAAAAAAAACAAAAAAAAAAAAAAAAAACACAAAGCCAGGCAGTGGTGGCACACACTTTTTAATCCCAGCACTCAGAGGCAGGTAGGTCCTGGTATGTTAGAGGCCAGAGTGATCTACAGAGCTAGTTCTAGGACAGCCAGGCCTACACAGTGAAACCCTATCTTAAAAAACAAAAACGAAAAAGCCCAAATATATCAAATACACATACCCTCCACACACACATATCTGAGCTTCATCTTTTAAAAGGTGTGTGTGTATGTGTGAGCTTCATCTTTTAAAAGGTGTGTGTGTGTGTGTGTGTGAGCTTCATATTTTAAAAGGGGTGTGTGTGTGTAATTGAGCTTCGTATTTCTGGGTTTGTGGTTTAGTAAGTTTGAGATAGGGCTCGACCAAGTTCCCAGACAATGCTAATACTGCTGGTCCCAGAACTGTAGTAAGAACTGTCAGTGTTCTGTTTTTCTTGAGTCCATGGAAAAATTAGGGTCACTCCAAGATGAATTTTGGCATAGGGTAGCAGCGGAATCAGCTTCTGGTGAACTGACTGCCCATTGCTTCTCTAAAGATGTTTTTAAAATACTGTACAATTTACACCTCTTAGCAAGTCTTTTCTGGAGTTGTCTAAAGGAACCAAATACCCAAGTAATTCTCAATCACCAGACCTCTTCGTTTTCCAAGTCCTCTCATAAACAAGTTTTGTAAAGGTTTGAAGCCTTCAGGAAGAACCCAGGTAAGAATCAAACACTTTAGACAAAAGGTGACAGTAACAAAAGGAAGCATCATCACATAAGCAGTTCAAAGCTCAGGTGCCAACACTCTGGAATTCAAGCCAGATACAATGCTCTGTGGGATCTCCCGCTACAGGAATTACACAAATATAACATGATACTCAATACACATTACATTCAAAGCAGAAGATAAGAATAAATGACAAAATACCCTATTTCTTGTCCTTAAACTATACTGAAATAATGAGTTTTTGTTGCATTACAGGGTAAGAAATAAAGTAATTCATATTAAATTGTAGTGCTGTTTTGTTTGTAATCTTACAAAGCCTGCCTGAAGATCAAAGTGCAGCACTAAACCCCTAGTTAGCCATAGAGGCTGGGTGGTGTGACAGCACACACCTTTAATCCCAGCACTCGGGAGACAGAGGCAGACAACCCGTGAGTTCAGGCCATCCTGGGCTACACGAGATTGAATCTGTCTAAAAGAGAAACAGAGTTCACACAAAGGTGATCCCAGCACTTGAGATCCCATGCCTTTAATCCCAGTACTAGGGAGGAGGAGACAGGAGCGATATGGCTGGGCGGAGAGAGGAGCTCAGATGCATTCTGGATGCAGTCTGGAGATTCATAGAGACAGATGAAGTCCGAGGTTTCACAGAGATAGCATTCAGTCTGAGGAGGGGAAACAGGATCAGCTCTTTGTTCTGAGCATTGGTAGAGGTTAAGAACTCTCTGGTGTCTGCCGCTCTGCTTCTCTGATCTTTCAGTATTAACCCCTAAATCTGACTCTGGGTTTTTATTATTAAGAACAATTTGAATTCATGCTATGTTAAAAAAATTAAGCAAATAAGCACCTCACCTTAAAATAATCCATCTTTAATTCCTGTACTCTGAATGCAAGCTACAGCTATGAGTAGCTATAATTGACTGAAAGGAATTTAATGCTGAGTTAAGACTTTATTAGGTCACTGAAGATTCACTGGAATGGGGGTAAGAGACAATACTTAATAAGATACAACACAGAGAAATACTAAATAAAGCTACACAAGTGTATTTACCTTAAAACTTTATCTTGAGCTGAAACTTCTGCTTCCAAATTTATAATCTGTTCTTCTAAGATTGGGATGTTGGCTGCCTGCTCTTGCGCAGACTCAAGCAAAGACATCTAAAAGATAAAAACTTTTATGGTACTAAGTTTCAGGAAATAAATCAATCTATTTGTATTCTAGCCTTTCTTTGTCACATGAGAAAGTACAATAGTCACTGCCAAACCTAAAGCCAACCTCACCTATTCCTTTCATGAGCGTTCATATGTACACATCACTATCAGAAGACCAACTCAGTACATGACCTGCCACTGTACTCAAATACCTCAGTATAAACTCCTGACACCATCTACAAAGATTAATTTCACATAAGTTAGAAGGTATATGTGTGTGTGTGTGTGTGTGAGATCAAAGTGAAAAAATAGATAAGAAATATATATTGAATTTTTATGACTTAAAAACTAATTTTAGGAACAGGACAGTGGTGGTACATGCCTTTAACCCCAGCATTTGGAAGGCATAGGCAGGCAGATCACAGTGATTTCAAGGCCAGAATGGACTACAGGGTAAGTTTCAGGACAGACAGGGCACCGTCTCAAAAAACAAAACAAAACAAAAAAATTGATTTTAGTAATCATGCTTAATAGAGAAAACCTAGATCTATTTCCAAGCTATATTCTCAGTATTATCTTAATACTTCCATTGAGTCTTTTAGCTGTGGCTTTATTTCTTCCTTTTGTGAAGCTCTTTGTTCTACTTGTTTCATGTTTTATAACATCCAGATGCAATATAAAATGTAATGACTTTTGTTTTTCTGTGCTGTTGCAAGCTTCTTATAGAAAATGATGATGCTTTGATTATTCATGTCTGTCTGTCTATCTATCTATCTATCTATCTATCTATCTATCTATCATCTATCTATCTGTTTAAGACAGGGTTTCTCTGTGTAACATAACAGCTCAACTGTTCTGGAACTCACTTTGTTGACCAGGCTGGCTTCAAATTTGCAGAGATCCACCTGCCTCTGCCTCCGGAGTACTGGGACTAAAGGTACCACCACATCTGGCTCATTTTTCATATTTAAGAGAAAAATAAATCAAACTTAATTGTAAGTTGTCCATGTGTTGGCAAAGTCTGTTCATTTATGAATGGTGGTTTATAGAAGTGGTCATTTTCTAAGAGGGTATTCACCAACCCCAGAGGAGGACTAGGATGTGATGGGCTTCATTTGGAGCTAATATCTTCAGTAAGGGATGTTTGGATCTGGGCATGGTGGTTCATCACTTCCTGGACAGAGGCAGTAGTGGGCCGTGTTGGCGCATGCCTTTTATTCCAGCACTCAGGAGGCAGAGACGGGGGTATTTCTTTGAGTTTGAGGCCAGACTGGTCTACGTAGGGAGTTCCAGGATAGCTAGAGCTGTATCGAAAAACCCTGTCTCAAAACAAAACAAAAACTGGAACAAAAACCACAAAAATCTTTGGCTTTTGCTTGAGGGATAGCCCCAACTGAGATGAGAGTAGAAACTTGTGAGCAACGGCTTTATATGGGTTTCGTTCTTTATGTCTCTACCTCGTCTCTGAGGCCTCTGTGCTCAGTCTTCATCAGCTGTCGGTGTTCTGGGAGTGGGGAAAGCGGTGTGTAGCTCATTTGTAGTCTCTGGACTGACTTCTCTTTTTCTAGTCAGGATGTCTTCCCTGTCCCCTACTTCATGTCCTAAGTTTACTTTTCAAGTAAAAGCAGTTTTCATTGATATTTTGATTATTGACTAATTCAAGAAAATCAATTATTGCTGGCAGTTGTGGTGTTTTTAATCTCAATACTTGGGAGCCAGAAGGCACGTGGATCAAATAACATGAAAAAATACTTTTGATTTTTATAGAACAACAAATCCTGAAGATTTGGGAGAAAACACAAATAACTTCATACTTAGTAAGCAAAATAAAAGAAAGAACAGTTCCATTATCATACAAAAAGATATAAGAAAAACTAGCTGCAACTCTCCTTGTATAAGGTGCCCTTCACGTACTCAATATAAGCAATAACGGGCTATTTAAAGATATTACAACATGAACTGTTTGTGAGCGCACACACGAGCACCTGCACGTATGCACACATGTGCGCAGACACAGGAAACATGAGTAGATTTTACAAAAGGAGAACTGAAAGGCTAGGCGTGAAGACGCATTCCTGAAATCCTAATAGTGACCAGGCAGGAGAATCAAGAGTTCAAGGTCATCCTCAGCTACCTGAGATCAAGACCAATACAGGCTACATAAAATCTCAGAAAACAAGACAAAAACATGAACAAAAAACAAGGGCAAATGATTTAGATAGGTTTGTAGAGTTCTTGCCTAGTATGCATGAGTATGAGTTCTATCTTGAGCACCTCAAAAACTAGATATAGCAGTACTTGCCTATAACCCTAGCCCTCAGGAGGTGAAAGAAGTAGATTCAAGGTCATTTTAACTATAGTGAGTTAAGGACAGACTGGGATATATAAGACCCTCCGAAAAAAACCAAAGTTTAAAAAACAAAACAAAAACAAAAAACACTGAGACTTTTACATGTGTATAACTCCATAATGATTTTTGGAGATAGCTTTGGGTTTTTGAGACCAGCCATGGCTGATACGGAACTTCCTAAGTAGACCAGACTACCTTGAAACTAATGGTGGACCTCATGTCTCATGTGCTGGGATCACAGGTGTGAGCTTTCACAACCAGACAGACAGTGCTTTTCTACCAACAAAATAATAGATAGCATGTAACACAGGCTGGCTCTGAGAGGACACATAACTTGTCCTCTCATAACAATGACCTTGAGTATTTGATTTCTTTTTCTTCAACTCCCATAATCTATAAACATTTATCATTTAACCTCATAGCCTTTCATGTAAATCAAACAACTCTGCATTTAGTCCTGATATATTTACCTTTTCTTTTTTATTAGGGGGGGGGGGAGTAATTTGTTTTTATTTGAGACACAGTTTCTGTTTCTAGCCTGGCTGTCCTGGAACTTACTCTGTAGACCAGGCTGGCCTAAAATCAGAAATCCACCTTCCTCAGCCTCCTGAGTGCTGGGATTAAAGGAGTTTACCACCACCACCCAGCTTACCTTTTCTTCTTTAAAAAAAAAAAAATTATGTGTATGAGTGTTTTGCCTGCATATACATATCTATGCACATGTATAGACTGTCCATGAAGGCCAGAAGAGGGCATCAGATTCTTTGGAAGCAGAGGCATAGACAGATACCATGAAGATGCCGGGAACTACACATGGGACCTCTATAACAGCAACGAGTGTTCTTAACCACTAAGCCATCTCTCCAGCCCTAATACTTTATTCTTTGAAAAAAGCAATGGCTGAAAGGCACTTAAGGAAATGCTCAACATCCTTAGTCATCAGAGAAATGCAAATCAAAACAACTCTGAGATTCCATCTTACACCTGTAAGAATGGCTAAGATCAAAAACACTATGATGGAGAGGCTGTGGGGTAAGGAAACACTCACTCCTCCATTGCTGGTAGGAGTGCAAGCTAGTACAGCCCCATTGGATATCAGTATGGCGATTTCTCAGAAAATTAGGAAACAACCTTTCTCAAGACCCAGCAATACCGCTTTTGGTTATCCAAAGGATGCTCAATCATACAACAAAGACATGTGCTTAACTATGTTCATAGCAGCATTGTTTGTCATAGCCAGAACCTGGAAACAACCATAGTGCTCCTCGACCAAAGAATGGAGAAGGAAAATGTGGTGCATTTACACAATGGAGTACTTACTACACAGCAGAGAAAAATAACGACATCTTGAAATTTGCAAACAAATGGATGGATCTAGAAAACTTCATATTGAGTGAGGTAACCCAGACCCAGAAAGACAAATATCATTATGTACTCACTCATGAGTGGTTTTTAAACATAAAGCAAAGAAAAACAGGCTACAAATCACAAACCCAGAGAACATAGACAACAATGAGGACCCTAAGAGAGACATACATTGATCTAATCTATATGGGAAGTAGACAAGATCTCCTGAGGAAATTGGGAGCATGAGACCATAAGAGAGGGTATAAGGGGAAGGGAGAAGCAGGGAAAGGAGCAGAGAAAAATGTATAGCTCAATAAAAATCAATTTTAAAAAAGGCTTTTTTACAATCTATTTTATGGACAAATCAAAACAACTCTGAGATTCCATCTTACACATGTAAGAATGGCCAAGATCAAAAACACTGATGACAACTTATGCTGGAGAGGCTGTGGGGTAAAAGGAACACTCCTCCATTGCTGGTAGGAGTGCAAGCTACTGGGGTGTTTTATTAAAAGGGGAGGTGCTATTTGTATGTGCCACCACAATCAGATACATACATACACATAAATATCAATATGTATACATACATACATACATACATACATGTACAATACCAATAATATAGTAAAAATGCAGTAATTAAGAAAATTGAGTTATGGTATCACATAATGAAATATACCACTAACAAGAAAAAAAATGGAAAAGCCATATAAAAGAACCAAAAAATGCCTAAGAGTATAAAGTAAAAACTAGGATCTGGGGTTTGGCTACGCAGTTAAGTGCACTGGCTGCTCTTCCAGCATAGTGGCTCATACCCACCACTACAGTCCCAGGGATCCAGCACCCTTTTCTGGCCTCCACAGGTACTGCCTACACATAATATAAAAACATACATGCAGGAAAAATACCCATACACAAAATAAAACAAGTTTTTAAATAGAAAAAAAGGTTTTTCTTCTTTTAAGATTTATCTTTATTTTATGTGTATGGGTGATTTGCCCGTGTGTCCATCTGTCCAGCACATGAATTCCTGGTCCCTCAGAGGGCAGAGAAAATAGCCTGAACTGTAGTTGCAGACAGTTGTGTGCCATTATGTGGGTGCTGGGAAACGAACCTGGGTTTTCTAATCACTAAGCGCCCCTTCTTTTTCTGCTTTCTAAGTTCCTTCAGTTTTTAAAAAGTTGACTTATCCAAGTAAAAAAATTAAAAGTTCTAAATAAAAATTTATGCTCATAGAAAAAAAAATTAAAAGTTCTCCTAAATTATCTTCAGATAGTATAATGATTTCATACCTTGTTAACATTCAAGTAACATATAAAATTTCCTGCCTACTAGATAGGCAATATAAATATTTTCCATTTACAAACCATAAAATATTACACATATTCTCTTAACAGATCAAAAAACGTACTTTTGCTTTTGACTGTGTAAGTTCAAAGTGCACAGACTCCATCCTCGTCATTAGGGAATGATTCTGAGTGACCAAACAAGCATTCTGTTGCCTAAGTTTATTAAGTTTCTCTCGAAGGCTTTTAACCTCTTGATCCATAGAAGCAGATGAAAAAGAAACCTGAAAAGAAAATAACAATGTACATTAAATTCTTTGATGTTTATATATAATTAATAGAAAACGGCAACAATTACCATTAAGATCATTGAACTCAGCGCAATGAACATTAGTGAATATTGATAAAAACAAAAAGAGACAACATTCCTTTCCACTTGTAGTAGTACAAATTAAGTATACACTGACAAAAGAATCAACAATATCACTCCTGAGTATAAATATGACAGAAATCTTTGTATTTCTGCACCTAAAGATATTCACAGCTACCCTGCATACAAAAGAGAATATGGAGGAGTACATATGCCAACCAAGATGAGACAAAATATTCTTTAACTTATGCATGTATTTTACTATGCTGTTAAATATATCTTATAATACATTTTCAATGTTATTTTCAAAATTTTGAGGAACATATATGTACAGACTATAAAGTCAAGTTACATAAAAGAAAAAGCATATAAAAATACATCCTGTCATCCTTAGTAACTGTTTTTCAGATTAACTTTTTTTTGAGACAAGTTCTCTAACCCAGGTTGACCTCAAATTCCTTATATTTGCAAGAATGACTATAAACTTCTAATCCTCCTGTCTCTCTTTTGTTTTGTTTTTTTTATTGTTTTATGTTTTTCAAGACAGGGTTTCTTTCTGTAACAGTCCTAGCTGTCCTGGAACTAGCTCTGTAGACTAGACTGTCCTTGAACTCCCATAGATCCGCCTGCCTCGGCCTTGCCAGTGCTGGAATTAAAGGCCTGTGCAACCACTGCCTGGCTCTGCCTCTAACTCTTGAGTACCAGGGTTATTGGACAAAGTCATCATGCCCAATTTATGAGGTACTCAAAGCAATTCTCCTACCTCAGTCTGTGAAGTGCTAGCATTATAGACATGAGCCATGACCATGCCTGACATCTTACTTTAACTTTATAGTTTAGCTTTCTAGTGGTTCCAAACATATATAAATAATTACTCAATTGCCTTTTCTCTTTATACAAAAACTCTCATACTTCATATTTTTTATTTAAATAATATAAACTAACAATTTCTCCATAACAAATATATTGGAAAATTCAGTTTTCCTCCTAACTGCAGAGTTTTCACTGCATGAAAGATTAGGATGTAAAAGGTACAATTATGGAGCTGGGGAGATGGCCCAGCAATGAAAACACTGGTTGCTCTTCTGAAGGACCCTGATTCAATTCCTAGCATCCACACAGAAGCTCACAATGCAAAGTTACTATCTATAACCTGGTTGCAAAAGATCCAATACCCACTTTTTACCTCCACGACATAATCGCAGGCAAAACACTCATGCACATATAACAGTACTGAAAAAGAACAATTATATTCCCATCTCAAACACTGTAGTCAAAGACTACGGATAACATGCAAAGAAAATCATTTTAAATAGGTATAAAAATAATAACCTTATCTCTTGTCTTCTTTTGATAATCAGTACTACCAGACGTTTTACAAACTTTCTTATAAGGTGGATACTTTAAAAGTCCCAGGCGGCTAGGTTGAGTAAGCTCTTCCAAAATAAGCCTTTCAGATCTTGAAGGATTGCAGACATAATCAGAATTTTCACTCGGACTAACACTACAGAACAAAGAAAAATTATACTTCAGTCTGACAATAGTTTTCACCACAAATTTCTGCATATAATAATCAGAAATTAGATCCACAGCTATGAGCATAACTGTAAACAGAGGTAGAGATTTTCTTTTGTCCTGACTGCCCAGTCCCAAATAAGCACACAAACACTTGTCAATCTATTTCCTGAATCTCTTTTACTTCAGGAGTGGAAAAAAAAGCAGCTACAATAATGAAACATTAATAAAAATTATGAATATATAGTTTATACTGATTCCTGATATGTTAAAGATGTTTGGGTTTTGCTTCATTTTGTTTATTTCTCAAGGCAGGGTTTCTCTGTGTATCTCTGGCAGTCTTGGACTCTGTAGACCAGGCTGGCCTTGAACTCAGATAGTCTGCTTCTGCCTTCCAAGTGCTGAGATTAAAGATGCTTGCCCAGCAAGATGTTTTCTTAATATGTAAATGCTGTTAATATTTCCATTTTCACAAACTGAATTATATTAAAAAGTACAGAAAATATATCTTAGTCAAGAGGCATAATAAACATGACATATAATGAAATCTAATCATTTTATGTTTATAAATTAACACTTTAATTTATACATGTGACTTTATTTCCTTGCCTGGACAACTCTTCTCCTAAATTCTGCAAACTCCATTCTGTTATTTTCAGTTCATGTCTCAATGAAGCAACATTTGCAAGCAAACCTTCTTCCTCATTGTCATTGTCTTTATTGTAGTAGTCGGATGAACTAGATTCCATTTCCTAACAAGAAAACAAAGACATTCTTATATTCTGCCTGAAGACTTTATGGTATCAGCCAAAATATTCTCATAGCAGTAAAATTTAAGAAACTGTGAAAGTGCTTGGCACCAAGACACACAACCTAATCTTGTTCCTCTCAGAAACCACAGGTCAAAGGAGAGAACAGACGTCTCAGATTTGTCCCTTGACCCGCACACTCGTGTGCACATACACACACACACACAAGATTTGTCCCTTGACCAGCACATTGCACTAATGTGTACACACACACACACACAAGGTTTGTCCCTTGATCTGCACATTCATGTGTACACACAGACAGATTTGTCCCTTGACCTGCACACTTGTGTGCACATATACAAAGACACACACAAGATTTGTCCCTTGACCTGTACACTCATGTGCACACACGCACACACATGCACACACATACAATGAACTGATGCAATTTTTTAAAAATTTATTCAAAGTCATGCAAATCTTGGAGGGTCAATCCAAGATCTGAATCAAGGTATACTTTTCTAATTAACTTCAATATGAGGTGTTAGAATTTAATAATCATTTTACAAATCTGGGGCATCCGTTAAGATGTTACCACTACAATCTTCCATATTTTCTTAAAAGGTGGTATTACCAGATAAGTTATCATCTCCTGTTCACAGTGGTTGTAAAATTTAAATATACTCACATTCACAAGTCATAATCACAGATCAAAATGACCTGGAGAGGCTGAATACGGTTACCACTCCTTTGGTCCTGGCTCTTGGGAAGTAGAGGCAGGTGAGCTCAAGGCCAGCCTGGTCTACATATTAAGACATTCTCTCAAAAAAGACACAAAACAAAAAGACATTTAGTAATTCATCTCAGAAACTACATGGGGGAACGTTCGGTTGCATCAGCTGTGGGCAAGCGGGTCTAGGATTAACCAAAAGGAAAGAATCATGATGCAGCTGGCCAGATGGCTCAGAATTCAAGCGTCCCGATTGCTCTTTCAAAGGCGTGCTATTGCTATTCTCAGCACCCACATGGTGACTCACACTAGTCTGTAACTCCAGTTTCAGAGGAACCCAAACACACACATAAAGCAAAATTAATATCTTTAAAATTATAGCAATGAATATTTTGCTATTTTAATTATTAAAATAACACTCAAAGCTTTAGAATTTCTACTCCTGCTATAGATCTTACAATTTCACCTCTTGTTCACACTTCATTCACTCTTTTTCATTGTGGAGCCTCTTTTATTGCCCTTCTTAAAAGCTGGGCTACCAATATAATCCCCATGTTCAAGGCTATAAAGTAAAAACGTGTATTTAGGAAAGCTCAATATTTTGAATGGATAAATGAATAAGCTACCTTCTCCGTCTCTATTCTGGTAAAATAGTTTGGTACATTTATTCTCTACTCAAAATTTTGCAAGAGTGGGGTGGGTTATTAAAACCTCTCACCTTATTGAAATAAGCTGAGCATTGAAATTAAATAAGATGTTTAGAAAATAAAATGTTTCTACTGTCTTTCCGATATTGTTTTCACAAATCTGCTTCTGCTTAAGTTCGAAGACTTCCCCAGTCAGATAGTGACTCGGGTCCCCAATCTGCTTCAATCACATCTGTTCAACAACATCTCGAGCTTCATATCGGACAATGATGGAGAAAAAAAGAAGAATTAGATCGAAAAATGCCGCTCAACACCTAAGTCAAGTTTTTATGTTCAACAACTTCTGCATTCTCATGTAAGAATTTTCTAACCGTTCTGAAGGACCATCGAATACGTCTAGTATTCAAACATCATCATGTTCCTGAGGACTTTTACCAGTCGTATGTACGCGGAAAGGCTCATCACCTTACCTAGGGGCCCCGACAACGGTATCTTCAAGCCTACTTGCGGGGAGAAAGCGTTCTAGCTGTACTCAGTAAGGGAAGAACCAGCGCTCTATACTCCCTGGATGAGACAGGCTTTCCTGCTTGGGAAAGAGCCCATGGTTTTATACAGTATTTTATCTCGAGGACGCTCAATCTACTGTAAGAGGGGCTCCATCGGCCTGGAGGGAGCAGAGCATTTGGCATCTTCAAACCCAACACACCGCCCGGGAGCTCACTGAGCGCCAGGACGTCAGGAAAGCCCGCTTCCAGTCACGGGGCGTCTGCTCACCACCAGGTCGCAGCTGTACTTTGCGACCCAGGCCAAGGCGCAGCACGGCTCCTCTGCGCTCGAAGCCTAGGACAGCGCAGGCCGCGACGTGGAAGCCTCCGACACACGACCTAGAGAACCAGCGAACCTCGGAGGCGCCGAGTTCGAACCGTCGCGGGAGCCGTTGGGACGCGCCTCCCGGGCCACGAGCCCCGCCCCCACGCAGGCTCCGCCGCAGCGTCGCCGGAGCGCAGAGCGTGCCGGGAAATGAGGCTGGACGTGCGGATGGGTTCTGCACGCCTAGTTCATGTTGGACTACAATTCCCATCATTACCGCCGCCGGTACTCATTGATCTCTGTGTGTGTGTGTCTGTGTCTATATCTGTGTGTGTCTGTGTGTCTATGTCTTTCTGTCTGTGTGTCTGTGTGAGGGAAGCCAAAACCTACAAATCCAGTATGAAGCACGGATCCGAAACCAGGGGGCGGAGGGGCTGCACGCAGAGTTCATATTGGACTACAATTCCCATCATTACCGCCGCCGATACTCATTGATCTGTGTGTGTCTGTGTCTATAACTGTGTGTGTGTGTGTGTGAGAGAGAGAGAGAGAGAGAGAGAGAGAGAGAGAGAGAGAGAGAGAGAGAGAGAGAGAGAGAGAGAGAGAGAGANAGAGAGAGAGAGAGAGAGAGAGAGAGAGAGAGAGAGAGAGAGAGAGAGAGAGAGAGAGAGAGAGAGAGAGAGAGAGAGAGAGAGAGAGAGCGCGTGTGGGGCAGGAAGGAAGGAGTAGCCCCGCCCTCACCCAGCCCAGCGGAAGGCAGCGCTTCCCCCTTCGAAGACGGCGTGAGCCGCCGTCGCCCCAAGTTCCGTGGAGCTCGGGAGTTCGGAGCGGAGGCGCCCGCATCCCACACCTCGCTAAACACTTCCTGGAGATCGCTCCGACCGGGATGGGCGGCAGGACCTGGCTGCCGTTCCCAGTGCTCTTCCTGGCCGCTCTGCCCCCAGCGCTGCTGCGGGGGGCGGCCGGCTTCAAGCCCTCCTTGGACAGCGACTTCACCTTCACGCTCCCGGCCGGCCAGAAGGAGTGCTTCTACCAGCCCATGCCCCTAAAGGCCTCGCTGGAGATCGAATACCAGGTAAGCGCGGGGGCGAGCTGGCCTTCGCCGCTCACCGGCTTGGGAAACTTGCAGAACGCGGGCGAGGTGAATCCAGAGGGTCGTCCGGGAAGCTGGCCTGCTCAGCGCAGGCGCACAGGCGGGCTCTTGGGTGTCTGGAACTCACAAATTTAGCCAGACGTAAAATTGACACTTACCCTCTCTTCCCTTTCCTCTGGTCGGAAAGAGGCCAGCACTGGTGACGTCGGTGGCGTTAGTCTTTGTTTCTTAATTCACCCATAGCTTTCCTAGGGAGTATACACTAGTTCTAAGAGTTTATTTTTTAATTATTGAACGAAATGATGACACCGTTTGCATTACCCTCACCACTTTCACCAGATTCCAATATTATAAAAATCATCACGGTGTTTGCTTCAGTTAAGGAATTTGGAGTGTGACACATGTCAGATTTTGAAATGTGTTCAAGGAAGCTGTTGCCGTATTTAGTGGTACATTTCCGTCCCAGCTGCATATCCATTACTTTCAAATAAGATAATAGTGTATTAAAACATTCTAACATCAGGATTCTTCCCTTGTCTTTGTTTTCTTTTTAATATCAGCAGAATACGGCAATGAAAGTGTCTTAAAGTCTATAAGTTTCCACCCAGCAAATTTCTGTGCTTCCAAATAGCCTTGCACCAAAACATATGTTGATGTGTTTTCTATTTGAGGCTTTTTAAAAAATTAAGTTCTAAATGCTATTAGTTAGAGTAGAATAAAATGCATGTAGTGGAATGGAGTGAAAGCTCAGAAGTTACTGCTTGCACGTGGTGCACAAATGTACACTCACGTGGACAAATACGTTTATTATTAAATCTTTTTTAAAAAACTTAATGTCCAGTTTTATATGAAGAAACTTTAGGACGATTTATAGCTTACATTAAGTATCTGAAATCATAGTATCTAAAATCTAAGCAAAAATTAGCATGTGAGCAAAAATTCAGCACTTACTGAACAGTTAATGCGTGTAAGAAATTGTGTAGGGAGGAGGAACAAATAAAGAGAATCAGGCAGTGGTGGTGCACATCTTTAATCCCAGCACTTGGGAGGCAGAGGCAGGCAGATCTCTGTGAGTTCGAGAACAGCCTGGTCTACAAGAGCCAGTTCCAGGACAGGCTCCAAAGCCACAGAGAAAACCTGTCTCAAAACAACAAACAAAAAGATAAATATCCCACAACCTGCCACCACTACGCCACAGACACATAAAATTTAAGCAGATCGTTGGATGGAGTGTGAAAAGCAGATTTAAAGGAAGCAAAATTAGACACAGAGAAACCAACTATGGAGTTAGTGAGTCTAGATGGGAAAATAATTTTTATTAATCAAAGATTTCCGGGCTGGAGAGATGGCTCAGAGGTTAAGAGCACTGACTGCTCTTCCAGACGTCCTGAGTTCAATTCCCAGCAACCACATGGTGGCTCACAACCATCTGTAATGAGATCTGGTGCCCTCTTCTGGCTTGCAGGCATGGAGGCTGAACAATCTGTGTACAAAATAAATAAATCTTTAAAAAAAAAAAAAGATTTCCTTGAAAGCCAGGAATGGTGCCAGGTGCTGGTAATTCTAAACACTCAGGAAGCTGAAAGCAAGGAAAGACAAGCTTAAGGCCAGACTGTGAGGAGATCCTTCTCAAAAAGTTGGAACACAGCGGAGGATGTCAACCTCTGGCCTCCACTTGCACAGCTTTTAAAGGCAGGACATGGTGGCACATGGCTTTAATCCCAGAACTCTGAGGGACACGCAGTGAGTTCCAAGACAGCCAGGGCCGCATAAAGAGACACTGGGATTCCCCTCTGTATGCTGTGAATACCAGTGGTCAATAAAGGAACTGAGGTAGGCCGGGAAAGGTAGGCTGAATGCTGGGAGAAAGAAGGCGGAGTCAGAGAGAAGCCATGGAGCCCTCTGGAGCTGAATGGAATTTTACCTGGTTAGCCACAGCCACTTGGTGATACACGGATTAATGGAGATGGGTTAAATTAAGATGTAAAAGTTAGCAAATAAGAAGCTAGAGCTAATGGGCCAAGCAATGTTTTAAATAATGTAGTTTCTGTGTGATTATTTTGGGGCTAAGCAGCTGGGAAATCAACAAGCGGCCTCCTTACAACAACACTGTGTCCAATAAATAAGTAAATAAATAGGTAAAATATTTTAAAAAGCCTTTACATCATATGATTTACTCATAGAAGTTTCTATTTTCGGGGTTTGTAATACGTGTTTTTTTCTCTTCTGTAGGTTTTAGATGGAGCAGGATTAGATATTGATTTCCATCTTACCTCCCCAGAGGGCAGAACCTTAGTTTTTGAGCAAAGAAAATCAGATGGTGTTCACACGTAAGTTGACTGTTTGAGACACAATATATTTACATGTATCCCTGGCTGGCTTGGAACTTAGAATAATCCTTGTACCATAGCCTTGTGAGTGCTGTGATCAATCATAGGCATCCACCAGCAAGGGTACCACACCCAGCTAACTTTTTCCTTTGCTTTGGTTAATCTATTAACATTTTAAATCAGCCTTCTTGGCTTAAAAACATTGTTTTTTGGTTGTTACTATTTTTGAGACAGAGTTCAATCATGTAACTGTCTGGACTGGCGGTACTCAGATCTGCTTGCTTGCCTCTGTCTCCTGAATACTGGGATTAAAGGCATACACCACCATGTCTGGCCTTTTTTCCAGACAGGATTTCTCTGTATAGCCCTAGCTGTCCTGGAACTCGCTTTGTAGACCAGGCTGACCTCAGACTCACAGAGATCAACCTACCTCTGCCTCCCAAGGATTGAGATTAAAAGCATGAACCATCACTGCCCAGAGGGTTTTGTGTGTGTGGGTGGGTGTGTATGGGCCTTGTGGTGGTAGCTCACACCTTTAAACCCAACCCTCGGGAGTCAGAGGCAGGTGGATCTCTCTAAGTTCGAGGTCAGCATGGTCTACAGAGCGAGTTCCAAGACAAGTTCCAAAGTTACACAGAGAAACCCTGTCTCAAAAACAAAAGAAATTGTGTGTATGAATGTTTTACTTGCATGTATGTATGTGCTCCACATGTGTAACAGGTACCTGCAAAAGCCAGAAATTAATATCAGATACCCAGAAGTGGCTCTCAGCTACCGTAACTCCATTTCCAAGGGATCAAGCATCCGCTTCTGATCTCCATAGGCAAGAAACACACACAGTGCACGTATACACACCAAGGCAAACACTAATACACATAGAATAAATCCAAAAAATGGGTATATACACAGTAGAAAAGAATAATATAATTTATTCTTTTTGTTAAATGCATTTGTTAAAATGGCTAAGTAGAGTTCAATTAAGACTACAATTCATTTGAAATGAATTAAGGTTTATAATACTATAAACTTCATAACTTTTTCTGAGTAACTTGTTTATATACACATATATATTATGTCAATTAGATATGTATAGTTTATATGAAATATAATTTTTAAATCATTCAAAAGTTATTTTCAACATGTGAAATGATTTAAAAATTATATTAAGTTTTTTAAAAATTATTTCAGTGAAAGTTAATATTTGCTTTGTAGATAGGAAACATATTACCTACTTAGTTCAGATATTAATAAATTTAATTATCCAGAAAAATACTAAGGAATAAACACAAATATGTTTAAAGTTGGGCATGATGGTTAATGCCTTTAATCCCAGCATTCAGGAGACAGGCAGACAAAGGTCTTTGAGTTTGAGACTGACCTGGTCTACAGAGTGAGTTCCACAGCTGCACAGAGAAACCCTGTCTCAATGCAATGCCTCCCCCGACATAGCTTCATTCTTGCCTACTGCTTGTGTATTGCCTGTGAATCCTTGCTGCTTTAGAGATACTAGGCAAGCCTAATGACAGTAATAAAAACCCAAGTAAAATTGAACTTAGGAGGATCAAATTATTTATTTCTTGCCCTTTTTGGAGTCATATCATCCAGGTATGTCCACCTTTTGACTCTGCAATACAACCTCCAGGGTTTACACTCAAAAACTGTATAATCAATTATAAAAAATAAATTATTTTTTAGGAAAGCTCATGTTTTTAGCAAGTTCAGTGTTTTGTGAGCTGTATTCATAACCGTCCTCTGACAGGCGACACAGACAACCTGTGAGCCACAGGTTAGACACTTCTGAATGAATGATGTGTCCTTCACAAGAGCCATCGACTGGTTTTACGGGTCCTGTAACATTTGTTTCTGTTTATAATTGTTCTTCACTCTGTTCACCAGTGTTTGCTCAGGCTGTGACAAAATATCTGAGAAAGTCAACTTAAAGAAAACAAGGTTAGATGTACAGAATACTAAAAGTGTTCCCTTGTTTTAATGTAGTGTGGAGACTGAAGTTGGTGACTACATGTTCTGCTTTGACAATACATTTAGCACCATTTCTGAGAAGGTAATTTTTTTTGAACTGATCCTGGATAACATGGGAGAAGAAGCTCAGGAACAAGAAGACTGGAAAAGATATATCCCTGACACGGATGTGCTGGAAATGAAGCTGGAGGACATCCTGGTTAGTAGGACATTAAGAAGTAACGGCAGCTCATTGGTCAGATATCTTAGTGTATGGCAAGGATTAAAGTGAGCATTCTTAACCATATTTTCCAAAAACTATTGGTTTCGCCATATTTTTACATCATTTTAAATCTCAATTTTAGCTTACGTTTAGCTTTTTATTAGTTTTTCAAATCACTTATCTCACGTGAATCTTATCTTAAAAATACTTTTTTTGCAGAAACAGTGCAATTTAAAAAAATAAAAAACAAGTTTAAACTTATTTTCTCATAGTTCCAGAGGTCAAAAATCTGAAGTGAATTTCACAGATCTAAAGTCTTAGAGGTGTTGACAGGGCTGGGACCTTTTTCACTGCAAGGTTTGCTGGCATTCCATGCTTTACGCCTTACATCACTCCACACTCTTGCATTGTTAGAATGTGTGTTGGACCTCCCTGGATGACATAACAAACACTCAAATGTATAATGTGATTATAGACACACAATGCATTAGGTACAAACTGCCAAATAACTAAAAATATAATCAGCTGGTCTTTTAAAAACGGTGAAAAAATATTTTATGGTTGTCAGAACGTTAACAGATATGTATAAAAGTCCTGGTGCTACGCTAACGCAATTACTTTGATCTTGACTCTTCAATTCAAGGTATCTTTATTCCTCTGCTAAATAAATTTAAAAACATTATTACTATTTTAAAGCCTCATGGAGGATCTCCAGGTGACACAAATCATACCAGTCCTTTAACTGAATTATATTCTCATATATTTTAAAAATTGTTTTGGCTTTGAAAACTAGCATAAAGCATATTATTAAATTAACTTGTTCTTAGTATTTTAAATAGAAAAATTACTGTATTTCCAGGAGTCCATCAACAGCATCAAGTCCAGACTGAGCAAAAGTGGTCAGATACAAACTCTGCTTAGAGCATTTGAAGCTCGTGATCGAAACATACAAGAAAGCAACTTTGACAGAGTCAACTTCTGGTCCGTGGTGAACCTGACGGTCATGGTGGTGGTGTCGGGTGTTCAGGTTTACATGCTGAAAAGTCTGTTTGAAGATAAGAGGAAAAGTAGAACTTAAAACTCCAGCATAGATTACTTAACATTGGAAAAAAAGAGGTAGAAAATTCTAATACACTGTTACAGTCAAGATCATTAGTAGTCATTCCCATAACATTTTCAGAAATTAAGTATAAGATATGTAAAATTTACTATGGAAAATCATTGTATATCCAGATAACTTTATTGACCCACTTATACACTTAAGTGTATATAACAGGATATCATATATAATTTAGATTTGATTGGAGCAATTAACATTTTTTAGGTTTAAAAATCTCTCCCAAATATGTATAAATTAAGTAAATGAACAGTATTCATAAACACACCACCAGTTTGCTTTTACACAGAACTTTCTCTATTTTGTACCAGCCAATTTACAATTTATCAAGTTTGCAAATCATTTGAGGATTATATAATTATGGACTAACCATTACATCTTTCCAAAAAAGGTAACTATATGTATACCACTGAAATGATATTTTTAAAATTTTTCTTTTTTTTTTTTTTAGTTTTTTTTTTCAAGACAGGGTTTATGTTGCCCTTGTCCTGGAACTAGCTCTGTAGATCAGGTCAGCCTCAAACACTGAGATCCACCTTCCTACGCCTTCTGAGTACTGGGATTAAAGGCATGTGCCACTACTGCCTGGCTATTTTTAAGAATTTTATAACCAAATACAATGTGAAACATTATAGAAAAGTATTAGTTTTTATAAACTTAGCTTACATTTCCAAGAACTAACATTTTGATAATTAAATTGGAAGGACATTCTTTCCTCAAAAATTAGGCAACATCTTTCTCATTGAAATGACATTATAAAGGTTTTCTTATGTGAAGATATAAATAGGGTAGTTAATGTTTATGAATAGGATGCATTCTGTCAAGACATTAGCTAAGATAAAATTTGAGATAAAAATGAATGTATTTTTATACTACCCATCAAAACTGTTGTATTGGTTTCTACACAGCTATTGGTTTTGTTTGTTGTGGTTTTTTTTTTTTTTTTTTTTGGTTGTTATTGTTTTCCAGACAGAGTTTCTCTGTGTAGCCCTGGCAATCCTCGAACTCACTTTGTAGACCAGGCTGCCCTCAAATTCACAGAGATCCACCTGCCTCTACCTCCCGAGTTCTGCCTCTCAAGTGCTGGGATTAAAGGTGTTATCTGGCCAATAGCTATTGGTTTAGATAATACACTGTCACCAGCAGGTGTGAGGGACACACTGCTGAATAGATCTGACCTTATGTAAATAAACAGCTCCTAAGTTCTCAAAATCATCAGAATGAGGGGAAAATTAGATAAACTTGAGAGTACCAAATACGAAAGTTCACCTAAGTAGAACCATAATATCTAGAATCAAATGGGCTCACCTTGCTATCCCAATTCTAATAGAAAACAGAAAAGGGTAATTTGAAGTTCACTGGAAGAAATTATGTTTGTCATAGTTTTTATTTTCTAGTTACTGTTTTCAATTATAAATGTTCAGGTAGATTTTATAAAATGCACATCCTACTATAAAATTTACATATTTATTATAGGTTTTATTATAATTTTCACAAAATTATAATACCTAAGTACCTATGGTCACTTATAACTTTGAAGGATTAAAACAATCCTAAATTAAAAACAGCTAATGTGAATATAAAAGCCAATGCACACAAAAACGCTTTCTAGCTTATTAGTCTGCAGTACAGTCTTATTCAAGTTCTAGTAATTTAGCTTCATCATGAAACAATTAAATTACACACATCTTTAGTGTTATGATAAATGTATTGTCAATTACAAAAAAATGAACAATCAAGTCTGGGTATTGGATTCATTGTGTATATGTGTGTGTGTGTGTGTGTGTGTGTGTGTGTGTGTGTGTGTGTGTGTTATATTGCCATAACTCTTACTGAGCAATAATGATCTTCCACTACCCTGCTATCTCACACACACAAAACATATGGTAGGTACTCAGAGAAATACTTCATTTACAGTTTATACTCAGAATAGAACAGAGAGAGATATACTGTATTTTTTCCTTCTTGGGAGAATAGAGATTTATTTTTCCCTATTCAGAGGCTTTTCAAAACATAGATGCCATATATGATCAGTAACTGGCCAAGGAAATGCTCCAGTATTGTAAGCAAAACTCCTCAGCACATACAGAACAAAGTGAGATCATTACCTAAAAAAGCCTTTTTCCACTTCCAAGTGGAAGGGAAGCAATCTATAGGTACCGTAACTGATAAGCAGACTACACTTGAGTCTACTGTGTCTTTTCTGTAAGACTGTGATTAAGAATTCTACCTCTTCAATACAGCGGATACTGTACTGTACCTAACACTGTACTTGTCACTAACGTCATTGTGTATGTAATTTGTGCCACTGATTTTTAAATCTATAATTCAGTTACTTCCTGCCATTTAAAATGGTAGTAGTATCTTTATTGAAAAAAGTAACTTACAAATGTTAAAGATTTTATTTTTTATAGATAAAAATAAAAAGATATTAAGAACCATGTTGCCTGTATTAATCATAAAAAGAAAAATTGTAAGCAAAAACCAAAATGTTTATTTTTAAATGTGTATTATCTGCTTCATATGAGTCTTTTAATGTTGCTTTCTCAATTATACTAAATCAAATAAGCCATCATTTGATCTGACTTTTATCTTATTAATTGTATAAATTACTACAGTAGTTTAACAGAAGTGTAGATATGACTTGCATTCTGAGATGCAGTTGGATTATGTGCTCTTTTACCAGGTCAATAAACAGAAGGTAAATAAGCATCTGAAAATGTTGTTGAAATAAATTATAAATCAAAATATATTTAGGTATATTTATCATTAAACATTATCTTAAAATGAACAAAAACCAAGTCCCTGTAATTTTGTACCTCCAGTGAAAATTATTTATCAGAAATTTTAAGACATGCAGGCAAAACACTGTATACATAAATAATAAATATTTGAAAAAATAAAATGTTACCATTCTTTAAGCCTAGAATATGGCTCAGGAAACAATATCTATTCAAAACAATATGGAAGTTAACCTTAAATACTTACCAGCCAACCAGTCTTAGGAAGTCAAAACTCCTTTGAGCCCACCCCTTCATTTGTACAAATAATTTTAAGTACATATTAAAACTTGAGTACAGATGTGGTAGTACATGCCTTTAACCCCAGCACTCCAGAGACTGAGAAGTACTGTAATTGTGAGCCAGCCTGGGCTACATGACACCCTAATTTAAAAAAAAAAAAGCCAGAAAATTTATATGAAAGAATATAATGATTAGTTCCTTCATACAATCCAGACACACTCCACACACTGACAGAAACCCTTGGGCTCCTTTCTACTTCTGAATTCCTTTGTTTCTATATGCCTACATTTTGAAATCTCATGTTATAATCTGAAGGAAGCAGTATCAATGCCTTTCCAAGAAAGGACACAGATTCAAAGCCATTATGTTACTTATAAGAGGCCACAGGACTGAATCCCTACATCTTTTTACGGGAGTATGTGTATTAATATATGCTGGGTGCAGTTTCCTACAGAAGCCACAAGTGGGCATTTGATCCCCTGAAACTAGAATTATAGATGGTTGTGAGCTACCACATGGGTGCTAGGAACCAAACCCAGGTCTTCTGAACTAACAATAACCACAGCAGATCTTAACAGCCTGAGCCATCTCTCCAGGTCCCCTAAGAAAAACAAAACAAAAAACTAAATCAGGGCTAGGTATGGTGAATCAGACTTAATCCCACCACTCAGGAGGCAAAGATGGGCAGATCTATGTAACAAGTTACAGGACAATCAAGACTACATAGATTATGTCTAAAAATAATACCATGGAGCTAGCAGGATAGCTCAAAGTGGGTAGAGACCTGTCTTGGCAAACCTAACAAACTGGGTTTGTCCCTCTGACACATGGTAGAAGAGTGCTAACTCCCCAAAGTTGTCCTCTGGCACCTACAAGTGCACTGTGACATACTTGTCCACACACATTTGCACACACAAATAAAACTAACATGCAACCCAGCATTTGTACTACTGAACATTTATTCATAAGAAACAAAAACTTAACACTTAAATAAACTGCCACACAAATGTACAACACCAATTTGTACAATCAAAAAGCTGAATAATTCAAATTGTCTTTCTACAAGTGAATAACTGTATATGTGTATCATATAAGCCCCCCCCCCCTCTTTACCCGAGCCCTGAAAACCAGTGATCCTTGGAACAACTTGGATGAACCTAAGAGCACTTACCTGGTAAAAAGCTTATACCTGATTTCTACTCATATATTCTCCAAAGTTTCGTGCCTGGGCATCTGTGGGCACACACCAAGACATAAAGATCTTTGGAAAATGGTCATCAACGCATTGATAGGAAAAGAACAGTGTGTTAACAAATATTGTAGTTACCACTCTCTGACTTTTTTAGCAAACAATCATGATACACAGGGAAAACAGGAGTAAGAGTTCAGATGAAAAAGTGCTGCATGAGTTCTAATTGTTCTTAATATTAAAAATCCATATATCAGGGTAAATGTTGAAAGATCAGAGAACAAAGGAGGCAGCCACAGCCAATTCTCACCGTGGGAACTCCTGGAGCTCTTGTCTCCCCTAGCTGTATCAATTCCTATGTGTCAGTACAGACCTCCAGGCCTCTAGGGTTAACTAGTGGCTAGCTCCGTCCGCTCTCTCATCTTCAGGTGAGCTTTGTTAAGAGCACAAACAAAAAGATAACCACCAAAAAAAAAAAAAAAAAAAAGACTCAAAATGAAGACATGTAGCGCACAGATTGATACATGATTTACCTGTTTCCCTGTTCTGTGGGGAGGAGGTGGGTGGCTCATGGGAGCCACAGCAGGTCAAAACTCTGAAGGCAGCTCTCTGTTTCCACCATCAGGATTGGCAGTGGCAGCCCTGTAAATTCCTTTTTTTTAATTGTATATTGGTGTTCTGCTCTCACGTAGGTCTGTGTACCTACCACATGTGTACAGTGTCCATGAGCCCAGAAGAGAGCGCTGGGTCCTCTGGAACTGGAGTTACTCGCAACTGTAAGCCATGGTGCTGGGAGCTGAACCCAGGTCCTCTGCAAGAACAGCCAGTGCTCTTAACCACTGAGCCATCTCGCCAGCACAAATTCCTAAAGGGAACATGATTCTTTAAAAGATTTTATGTTTTCAAACTCACCAGGCGTGTTGAAAAGTCCCTCTCCCCACACTATCTTGCTGCCCCTGTACATTTTTTTAAATCTGCTGGCAAATATTCCTTAGCCAAACAACAAGGGAGGCAACAGTTTAGTGTGTCCAGCCTTTGGACACTGTACCACACAGCATTGCCATCTGCAGCATTTACACTTGAAAACTGTAATAGAGTTTACATATTTTAAGTAACTTTTATTATTTTTGTGTTGGGGTACATTGGTAGCTACCCTAGACCACAGACTGGGTATGCCTGGTAGACAAGGAATAAGAAAAGCCTACAAAATATGCAGACAGCCCATTTATTATCTAATGCAATGATTTCCCAA